GAATAACTGCATATACGGCATCTGTGTTAATACAGGGTACAGTGTATATTAGGTTTGTTTGATTTTTGTTAAAGAAAATGAAAAAAAGGAATGTGTTTGCAGAACTGCTTCTGTGGCTGAGGATGCACTGAGTCCGAGTGTTTTGCTGATCGTTGACTTTGTGCTAATGTATGGATCATGTTGCTAGGAATCTTACTTCACTATTCACATCCGTGGTAAACTATTCTTTATACTTTTGGTCCAGCTCTGGTTTAGTCCTAGTCTGGTCTTAACACACCATTGTACAAATTTCATTCCGTACATGTAGGGAAATAATAATTGACTGGAGCGTACGGATGGCTAAGGCCAGGCTAGTTCAGTCCATGCATGTACTCAATTTGTTTGGAAAATTATCAAATTTGTTCAAAATACCTGCAATTTTAAAATAGAATAAATTAATATATGATTTTAAAAAATACACACACACACACAAAACAGAAAATTTAGAGTTTAAATATATATATAAGCTACAAATAGACTTCTCATAAAAAAAAAAATAAACACAAAAAAAAGATCCCTGACAGCTCTTGCGTTTTTTGCTAATTTACCCCAAGATGAAAATGACACACGCACACACACACACACGCACACACACACGCACACACACTCTGGGGTTCACAAGGAAAAACAGTTTGAAAACTACCCTCCATCTGGAATAAACCCGATGATCATCATGGAGTGTATGCAGGTGGCTGTGACATGGCCGTGTAAGACGGTGAGGGCGACTGAGATTGAGAACCATACTATAGCGATTCATGGACCGAACGACAAGAGGCCTACACAGCACTACTTATCCCTTTGCCTGAGCTGCTTTTATCTCTCTGGGAACAATCCATTATTCTACTTTTTCTGTCAACATCCTTGGAGTAAACACTGGAGCTGCTGCTGAACCAACACCTCAACAGAGAATGTGAGAAAAGGATGAAGCGAAGGAGAGTGAAACAATGGCCCAGAGCTGTGTGTGTGTGTGTGTGTGTGTGTGTGCGTGTATTCATGTGTGTGTGTGTGTGTGTGTATGAGTGTGTGTGGGACATGTCCACCTCTGATCCTCTTTGCTCTTTCTCAGCCTTTTGTTAACGTTGGACAAATTTGCTTTAGGCTCTGGGGACCGCACCCAAATGAATTCTCCTGAAGCAACAACAATCTCCCTGGACAGGCAACACACAAGCTATTGATCCACCACTACTGAGTGGAATTTGAGGATTTTCTGTGGTAAGAAGATAAAATCACAATGAGCAGAATTATGTTCATCTGTGAAAAAGTCTGTCAAAATAAAAATGAATATTTGATCAAACTTGGCTCTATTATTGTCCACAGCTGAAAGATATACAGAAATATTATGTCCATTCCATTTTGAATAAGAAATAGGATATTGCATTATTATCTGAGAACCAAAACATAGATGTAGATTACATGCAGTCCGAAGTAAATGATAAAAGATGCAGAGGTCTGGGATCGAATAAGACAGTGTATTGTTGGTAGAGGTCACGAGTTTTGCCACGTGTGCATGGTTTTATACCATATCAAATATACACACTCCTCTCAGCATCTTCCATGACACCAGCAGACCTTCAGATAACCAAACATCAACTGCAGACTGTTGTAATGATCAGGTCAGTTTTAACATAATTGCATCAAGTGTCATAAAAGATGCATCAACCCCTTTAAAATGCATAAAATAAAACATAGGGTACATCAACCATAACCATGGTTGATTTGTTCAGAAAAATCCCCACATCAACCAGAAACTTATCAAACATTGGCTGCTGTGTGTTTTACAAGACTAAAAATGCTTACAAATCCAGAATGATAATTGACAGAGAGTTGCTCCTACTCTAAAGACCTGCTTTTCCTCCACATGTATCAGATGTGGATTAGAAGTGTGAAAAGTTGTGTCCAGTCTCTTCTTATGTAAATGTTCCTCGTCAGATCACTTCAAGCTCTTTGGAAATGGACAGTTTCAAGTTTCAATGGGACACTTCTTCCTTTTACATGAGACTTGTCCACCTCCCTTTCTGCTCTTTTGTTTATTTGAAGTTTGAAAGCCACAGATGAAGTCCCATTTTTACAGTGTATCTTCAGTTGGATTCATATGTTTTCAATATGCACTAAAGTCTTATATCAATGTGATGATGAGCTGATATATCACAATAGTTTACCTATAAAGGAAAAAACGTCTATACCAAAGTGTCCATTAGCAACACTTTGTATAGATTTATTGAATGCAGGAAATGGTAATTGATTGATATTTTGTAATTCAATTAAAAGTGCATTTTAACTATAGGGAGTCCGGACCAAGACAGCACAGTCAGTCACATAAACAGTGTTCATTTTACAATTGACTTATTGTAAAATATGACTTATTATTTCTTACTGTATTACAGATAGATAAGATAAAGAGTATATTATTTATTTGCACTATACTGGGGTAGACCTTATATGTGTGCACTTTTTATACTGATTAATATTCACTTCTCTAGTGTTGTGTGCTCCTATTATCCTGTCCTGTAACTTGTGAAGCAACACTGACATTTCCCCACTGTGGGACGAATAAAATCAATTTTATTATTAACGTTTGATCATGATTTATTTCTGGTTGTAAAAAGGCACATACCATTTGGATACATAAAGCGTTTGCAATTTATACTTTATTTCAAGCACAAACACCGCCTTAGTAGTTCTTAAAACAATGACAATTCTACTCCAAACCCAGCTTCGTGTCTCGCATTTCTCTTGTGCGTAAAACTGTGCGTAAAATATAACAGAGCAAACTTTATGCACGCCTTTGCGTATTCCCTTGTTATTCCTTTCACGTTTCCAAACTCGCCCTTTCCACCGCGTCTGCTGATCCATAATGGCGCAAAATGTGGTCACCTTCTGGCCACTGCGTCCCTTTTGCGGCGCTAATAACATTATTAAAAGTATATGCGCGATAAGGCGGGTGGGCTGCTCTTTGAACACTTTGAAGGCCACGAGGGGCGCATAAGAAGTGTAATCTGCGCTCTTATCTGCGCCTGCACCACAGCCCCCACCGCGCAGCCGCATTTGCATCTGTTATCTCACAATTATCATATACATTAGTCAACACCTGTTTCGCTTAACCTCATTTAATTAGGGCCATTGAAACGCTGCGCCTCGCTCTAAACAATGCCATCCGACGCGTAAAAGCCAGTTTGTTATGGTTCCTTCGCACATTAACAAATAAAAAGATATGATGATAACCCGCAGAACCACAGTCACGATTATGTAGAGCGTTTACGCATGTGAAAGAAAGCGCGTTCGTTTCAGACTCTCGCCCCAAAACTATTTTATCTTCAACAGCAGAAGCAGCAGCAGTGAGGAGCTTGTTCATACAATTGACATCTTGTTTTGACATAAAGGCACTGAAGAGAAAATGGGAAGTTTCACTGCAAATAATGAGTATTTGTTATTAAAATGATCTGATTACTTGCATATAGACTCTAATTCAAGATGTAGATGTTGAAGACAATAATTGCATGTATATGTCAGATTCGTTGGAAGCTACAAGAAAGTTTAGTTTTTATTACTCATTTTTTAGTTTAGGCTGTGTTTTCCGTCAGAAAAAAAATGTTAGAATAGGCCTATGTCAAGAGTAAAGTAATCTGGACTGATCTGAAACAAATTAATGTGTTTAAAAAATACTGAAATCAGGATAAATTCAGGCATTTTGAATAATAAAAAATATAGTTTTGTTGTCTTCATTACAAGTGTACATTTTAGCCTTTAGTGTAAAGCTGACGTATACGACAAATATGTAATTGTAAATTAACATCATGTGGATATGCTCATAATTATAAATGTCGCGAAAGACGACACATTGAACGCACAAAGCAATGGCCTGAGAACGTGCAATGCTGAGATAATACTATATATACACAGCCGACCGTATATAAAAAATAAACCGTTTTTTCAGGATGTAATTATTAGATCAATCAGCTTTGGGCCCGAATCAAACTATTCCTCCCTCGGTGCTGCGCTTGTTAATTCGCCATGCAGACAGTGTACTTTTTGTGTTGTGACATGAAACAGACAAGAAGCCAGACAGACGTGTTAAAAGCTGCAGTTGTGCTTAGACTATCGCAGGATGTTAGGTGGATAGATGTGCCATTTCATCTCGGATTGATGGATCAGTGCCAGACGAAGTAGGTGTCACATTCACCAGTGTAATGACATCCAACTGGTGTCAAGGTGCTTGTAGTTTAAACGCGACATAAAGACATGATTAAAGGCGATGTGTTTTTATGCAATACACAAAGATGAATGCGTTTAATCAGCCAGTGTGAAGCAGAAATATAAACACGGGAAAGATGCTGTGCGTAAAAGTTGGGCACCAATTACGCACAGTTGTTTCGGAGCAATGTGTACGATTAAAACCAAGCTGTATGGGTATAATATGAATAACATGCTGTAATGTATTAATTTTAGTTGAAATCTTCTTTGATAATGTTTACACAACTTTTACAATGACGAATTCAGGACTTTATTTAAAAGGGGAGTAGCTCTGCTCACTCCATGAATTATATTGAATATTATTTCACTTGTTTTATGGATATTAAAATGTTTTCTTATTTTCTAATTCAGAAACAACTGAATTCAAGTCTTTTTAATCGCGTTGGCCTGATATCTGTTCGGTGTTTGCAGTTTAATACAGAACGTTGCGCCAAAGCGACCAAAACGCATGAAAAGGGGAACCGCAAGAGCCTCTTTTGATGGGATTTGGCTCGAGTGAAAGCAGCAGGTCTTTTGAACGGAGCTGTCAGTCAAATACTTAACCCCCCCTCCCCTCCCCTCTCCCCATTCACTCCCCCCTCCTCTTTACGCGCTGCCTATATAAGCTCGCGTGGGACAGTCCCGTCGGCATCAGTCAAACGCTCTCCACTCGGGAAAAGGAAATACAAAGGAGTTACATCATAAATCGGGGAAAGGCGAGCAGCGGAAACATGCCAGCGACGCAGACTGGATTTGGAAACTTTTTCATGGACAGGAGCGTGGCACCTGGATATCATCAGATGCCCGTTTTGGGATGCGCTCCTCCCGCGGTGCAGGCGGCCCACATGGCAGCAGCTGGCTTTCCACTCGCTTATGGACTGCAGGGATATAACTTCATCCCTTACGCGCACCACAGAGCTATTCCACACATGGTAAGTTTGAATACAATACAATTTACACTGTGTAAACAATATTCAGTTGAATTAAGGTCATAGTTCATTGATTTGATTCTCATAGAGCACTTAAAGCCGTTTTGCATTGCCATCATTCATTTGACAAGTGCGTCTTGGCCCTTCCAGTGGAACAATAGTTTAAACAATTCCAAATATGTAAAAAAGAAAAAAAAAGTATCTATTCTAATCATGTCTTTTTTTGTTATTTAGAGCAACGCTTTCGACTTGAAGGCCGCCTCTCCGTACCACCCAGCCCTCTTGGCCCGCGCCTCCCCGTATTACCAGGCCTATCGCCCGGTTGCAGCAGAAGACCCCGCCAGAGTCGCCAAAGTGGCCACCAGGGAAAGCACGGGCGCGCTGAAGGCCTGGCTCAACGAGCATTTGAAGAACCCGTATCCAACCAAGGGCGAAAAGATCATGCTGGCCATCATCACCAAAATGAGCCTCACGCAGGTCTCCACGTGGTTCGCCAACGCGCGCAGGAGGTTGAAGAAGGAGAACAGGGTCAGCTGGGCTTCAAAGAGCAAGTCTGATGATGAGGAGGAGGAAGAGGAGGTCGAGGAGGAAGGCGACAGTGACGTGGATGAGAAAAGTCTGCAGGGAGATGTGGGGGAGACAGGCGAGGAGCTGGTGGATGTTCTGGACACGACCGAGCAGCGGGTGAGCGCAGAGGACGCGCCCGGAAAGAAAGACTCATGTGAAAGCAGCCCAGGCACGCCAACAGAGAGCAAAGACAACGCGCTGGTTCACAAACCCAAAATCTGGTCTTTGGCGGAGACAGCCACGTCTGAACCCGCGCGTAAACCCGCCATGGACAGCGCGCATGTGGGGAAGCTCTGGGCGCAGTGGGCCTCCAGGAACGGGCTGTTTGTTCCAGCAGTGTACCCGGCGCCTGAGCTCCTATAGTTGGACTCACCACAGACTATGATCCACACGCGACGCACTTTAGTCCTTGTAAATAACCATATCTCAGGGGATTTAAGAACTGAATGATGAACCTGACTTTCTTTGCGCCAAAGATGAATTGTACATAAATGTATAGATGTATTTTTCCATCAACCCTTTGTAAATTATGTTTGTGAAATAATGAAGACATATTTTTCTTGAATAAAAATCATATCCATAAAATATTTACGGGTTACCCCATTTTTTATTAAAACGTTTTTTTTTTTTTTTTACATGGGCACTGAGTTGATGAGTTAGAGAGTATTAGAACAATGTCACTGTTGGTAAAATAGGTTATATATTTAATGCACAAATGTATTTTTCCACAATTTCAGCTATACAACATTTTATCCACTTGTGCATGTGGGGAATTATACAAGAATAAAGGCCAATTTATATGCAATTAACTTATGTTGCACAGATAAATTGGTGACATTTGATATGACAATCTCCTTAAACATTGTGTAGACGTTGGCAAAGTGTTTTTATTGATATTACCAATGATTTGAGAGAATGTCAAGTTTCATCACCAAATCCGATATTCAAAAGTCAGTTAAGTTAATGCCACAGGCTCCTGATCTAACATTGATCATTCAGAAAGGGTTTCAAAAAGTTGGTCCCATGTAGAGGGATAGTGATTGTTTTGTCAATGACAATAGTAAATGCTTGATTGTAGTGCTTCTCAGTGTAGTCAATGCACATGTTATCCTCTGCATTTGAAATATTTTTCTGAATTTTATTGAAAATTTTAGTTACCTGGTTAATCCTAAAATAAAACTAGAGGAGAGATAGTGGACATGGCTATACCTGTTGACCCAGAAAAGTCTTGTTTATGCAATTGTTCTCACAATTTCTTTCTGGGTGGTAAAAGTTGCAGGTCTAAATTGGTGCACACTTAAAAGACTTTTATTTTGGTCTTGTCAATATTTCATTACAGGCGTGAAGAAATTCTTTCACAGAAGTGTTGTTCTTGCCTGATCAGCATCATCTGATTTTACAGTCATCATGTAAGACAAGTGGGTATGGAGACATATGTAATTCAAGCAAAGGTTTCTCCCAGCTCGTCACATGTCTTTAAATCAGATGTTCTAAGCAAATGCATATTCTCAGTAAATTTGCAATAATTCTCTAAATTCAAGTTCAGCAGTAGTTCTAACTTATTATGGGATTGTCTTACCTTCTGAGTGTGTGACCATCCACATACAACCACATAAAAAACAGTTCTTCTTCAGTTTATAGGACTAAAATAGATCTAAAGTATAGTATTTCAATGAGGGTTAACCCCCAAAAAGAAAAGGCTAAACATAAATAATAATTGCACTGCAGGGGGGAAGCAGCACCTAAAGAATGACCTCATGATACAGTTAGAGAAACACTGATCTATATCTTTCTGCCATTCACTGACGACAAAAGTTTTCCATTATCAGCCGTCACATCTTCGAAGTTTTTCCATATAAATTCAAAGTTGCAGGATTAATACCACTCTCCTGGAAGCTGCTGCTCGTCATGCAGTGGCCTCTCTATGCAAATCCCCTCAAACACACACACATAATGGCAGCAGATTAGCCCAGGCATCAAACAGTCGTCATTCAAATCACATGAGGAAAGGATGCAGCCATAAGACATGCAGCCAGTGTAACAAATATGGGGAGAAAACAAAAATCATGATTATAATCAAAGGTGCGGGCATGTGTAAAATGTACTTCCTGAGTGTTGAATTGTGTTATATGTTGGAATTATTTATCCACAGTTTCATACTCATAGCTTTTTGCCTTCGTTACCCTGCATTTGAATAGTAGTTTCCCCTGTCCTGGCTCTCTGTACTTGTTATTAGATTAGAGTCCAGGTCTTACAACAACATTGCATAGATTTTGATTATTGAATCACACATGGTATTGCTGGTGTTACCATGTTGTCTTTTTTATCTTACATTTTGTTTGTTCTTTAATGACACCCATAGTTCAACGAATGATACTGTATTTTTTGGGACAGAAGGAAAAACATGATTGTATTTAACATATTGGCCACATCAGACAGGAGCATACAGCTTAATTCTGGAAGAGTGGCCTTATTTTGAATAATTTTCTAAATCATTTGAATCGTAAGAAAAAAAAAACAGTTGTAACCAGCTGAAAAATTATCATTATTATTAAGTCATTATGTGTAATCAAATACGGTAGATGCTTAACCACGTGTATGCACATAGAAGAGATAAAAAAAGACGTTTCTGATATTTATTTTGTATTTGAAGTTTGGTTTAAAGTTTTGGAGAAGTTGACATCTTACATAAGACAGAAAAAGCATTGGCTGAAAGGTCAGTGCTCTAGCGGCCTCTAGCGGTGATATTACGTTACATGTATTTCAGTGGCAGACGCTCATTCAAGACTTCTACGCTTTATATGCACCGACTATCACAAAAAGTAAATGTAACAATAACATTACAATAACTTACTCTAAATTAATGCCAACTATCACATTTCATTTTCAAAAATAGTGCCACATGATAACTTTTACATAAATATTCACAACATCCAGAATACACCTTATAACAACCTTAGTGTTTTCACATTACAGCTTGACATCATGGTTTACATTAGTAAATAGTGTATACTTATTTTCTCAACAGTATTATCAGTAGTGGAATGTGGACTTATATTCCCATTTTATGAGTTTTTGTACAAGTCTAAAGTAAAGTAGTACTTCACTTTTTAAAATGAGCAAAAATAGACTGGAATCATGCATATAAAAAGAACACTGCACATCTCCACAGAAAAAAACAAAAACAACATTCAAATGACTTCTAACCATTCTACAGGGAGATAGTTACGGTAAGTAGATTACACCCAAAGCAGTAAATGGTCAGGTTTGTGGAGATGCAAAATCTCTCACAGTGATAACACACTTTACTACACTTTTTTAATTGAGTCTGTTTCTTACCTTGCTGTTAGTATCTGTAACTGGATATTGCATTTAGTAAGACAACAAAATCCAAGTCCAAAGTCCAAAAAGTGAATTCGGAAGCTATGTACAGTAGTAGGATTATGCGCCAATACAAAAATACCTGCATAAATAAAATCATCCATCCATCCATCCATTTTCTTCCCCTTAATCCATTTCTGGATCGGGGTAAATAAAATCAATCTACTTCAATTGTAGTATTCTTTGCTGCACGTACTCGCCGTAAGTGCAGCAGCTTCCTGAAACAAGCTATACACTTCCAACAATGGGCAGTGACCTTTTTAAGTGGCTATTTTTAGTGCTTAACTCAGTAACTAATTTAGATGTTAATATTCTAAGGAAGGAAATCTATCATCAAACCATTTGCGATGCCAGTGTGCGGATTTAAAGTCCTTGATTTAAGTCGTATAAAGTTTGACCCGCACTAGCTGACAGATATCTCTAGTGTCTCTGTTTGTGATAAAATATGTTCTTTTCCGTCCTGGGACAGAATATGTCCATTCTCCGTGAGCACTCTGGTGGGGAAACTGTAATCTGACTCCTCGGGCAGGCTGTTGCTCTGCAGTGAGGTCTCCTGGGCTGGATGTGAGGGAAGAGACTCCGCCTGGTCATCAGTGGGGTGTGTGATGAGTGGATTTAGTTTCTCCTCCTCCACTGCTACTGTTTCTTTGGAAACAACTGTGACCTAAAGTGGTAGAAATGGTTACAGTTTAAAAGTCATTTTCAAATGAAACACAAATCACCGCTGAATGTTCACACAGACACATACAACAAAAATAAAAATAAAAATGCAAAATTACCATTGGCAGTGGATCATGCCCAGTTTTCCCTACAAAAAATGGAAAAAGAAGACACTGAACGAAACTCGAAAAAACACAAAAGTTTCAAAACAGATTGATTTTCTGCAGTTTCTAGTCTGTAGCTTTGATAATTTACACCACTACAGCAAATCTGGAGAGAGGCGAGCCAGCTCAAAACCTTTTTCATTTTATTCTATGTATTCACAACATTTAATACAAAGTGTATAAAATATATACTGAGCAAATATTGATCGTTTATTGACTCACCTTTACATCTGCAGATCAGATATATTCCCACTGCCAGGAGGATTGGAATAAGAACAGCACAGATCACACCGATATGGCCCCGGTTAAACTCTGCAGAACACAGACACAACATTTCAGATTCAGATTCAGATTCAGATTCATTTATTTGCCATTTGCAGTAAAACCACATTGGAAAAACTTTACGGAGGGAATAACGACCACTGACGTCCATAAAATACAATCACAGATAAATCTATGATGGGAGGAGTGCTCAAAATGTTTCTAATTTAATAAAGTTGTCCCTAAAACATAGAATTAAATGAGATTGAAACACAACAACAAAAATAAAAATAAAATAGACTGAAACTGAAATAGACTGTACATGAGCTGAGACCATGTGAAGCCAAACCTAATATCTATAGATTTTCCTTGATGTACCTAATTCCACACCATATTTTTTTATTTTTTTGGCAGCACACCTTTTGTGCTCACATATTTTAATTTCTTATTATGCAATACAAACATGTATCTACCCTGATAGCAATTCAGTCTGTGTTTATGCAAATATATGTTAATTTACTAGCTAATAATGATGATCTATTTCCTAATGCCTAAACCCACAGTAAATGAGGTTATGGGTGGTAACAAAGCAAAGTTAATATTTATACAGTATGTGATCCCTAAACCAAAATGCTGCTAAGAGTATTTTCTATTCATTCTGATATTTGACTATAAAAGGCAGTGTACTGTGATTTTCTCAACTACTATAAACTCACCACAAACATTGTCAGCCTCACTGCTTCCCCCTTGTGGCCCATATCCAAATGCACATCTGGGAAAAGTTAGAATAAAGACACATTTTCAAAAGTCAGAAAGAAGTAGATAATGATCACATATTCTGTCCTTGTGCTGCAGGTTAGTAAGTAGTAACGACCATATGACAAAATGCTTTAACACAATTGTAGCTTGTGGTGATGGGTAATATTTAGGATTATTCTTACTTTGTCATATTCTTACAGGTGCCGTTCCAGGACTTTTCATCAGAGAATGTTCCTTTAGGGCATTCTTCACACACTGTATCCTGAGTTTGTCCTCCTAAGTAAACAAAACATTGTAATAACATCAATAATAAGAACATATTTTTTCAACTCAGAACACATTTCATTCAGCTGTACAATTAGAACAAATAAGTAGCAATAGGTGAGACAAGTACTGTTGCTGTTTAATGTTACACATATTGTTCAATCTATGCGTGTAAACAGGAGAATCGCGAAAGATCTTGGTATTTCATCCGGCGCTGTGGTGAATCTTCACTATTGGTTGCCATCTCCTTCCTCTAATTTGTCACAATCAGGTTAAGGTTAGAGTTAGGAGTAAGGTTAGGGTTGGGAACAGTTGTTTTGGTTAAGGTTAGGTTGGGGTTATTGTAGGGTTTAGCTTGCAGTGGGAGGAATGCCAAGATATTAGCCTGTGTAAATTTGTGTACATGTATAAATAATGCTCAGGTCACATTGATCCAACAGTCAGTATGAGGGAAAAGTGACCAACAACTCCAACATGTAATGGGTGAACACTGATGTATTATAAAGTGGCATACAGAGCTCCAGGACTGGGAGATTAAACACTTGGTTTTCAAACACTTTTTACTGTGTTATGTCACTTCATAGACTCATTCTGGTCACATCTGGCACGAATAGTATTGTTAACGCATCATAGCTTTGTCTTGTAGTATAGACAGATCACCTAATGCTAGATGTTTACTAACTTAGACCTTGCTGTAGGTGCCATAAGGCAGATAAAGTGCAGAAAACAACAAGTTATGTTCCATTGTTTTGGTGTTTTTCTCTGTTCTCTTGTGGTCCTGCACGGACCGCTGTAAACCGCTGTGTGCGTGGTATATATGCACAAGCTAGTATGACATACTTACGAAATCATAACAGTAAAACATTCAAATTAAGTCCAAGATTAATGTGAGTAGAAAAATTCTGATCATTCCAGTGTCGTGTACCTATGGTGGTGGCTCCGTACCCAGGATCACACTGTGTGTGATTGAGACACTTGGTGCACGAGGAGCTAGAACAGTGAGAACCTGCTCGGCACAAACACACAAACCGCTCTGTTTTAGGGCGGCTCTCAGGCCACAGGAATCCCAGATCTGGAAACACATAGAACACTATTTGTTAGTCCAAATGTGTTTTTCTTTTTAAAAGGCCGTCAAAAGCATCCCTCTCCACATTCATATCTTTTACACCTGTAATGCAAGAGTCCTAACTGGGGTGACAGTACATTTTAAAGCAGGGTACATTGTACCCTGCTTTAAAAGGGTACCACCCACACTCGGCCAATAAGCTCTGAGTCCAAGCAATTAATGCCAAAGATAATATTTTCTAATAAGAGGAAGACAGTACGCTCACTATGCTGAGGTCTGATTGGTTGATTCTGTTGGTATGGTATGGTATGGTATGGTATGTACTTTATTTGAGTGTACAATTTAACATTAACACAAAGGAGAGATGTATTGTCCCAGGTTATAGCAAAGATGATAATTTCCACCTGTAGTCCCTGGGTTGGGACTAACAAACATTGATGATTTATGAAACAGAAAGTAAGGTAAAGTAAAGCTTTAAATAAGAACACGTTATATCTGTAACGTGATAGTAATGATAGTAATGAAACCATCCTCACTGGGGTCGCAGTACGGCTGCAGTTGACACGTTTTCTCTGTGTTGTATTTGTCTGTGTATTCGTTCTCTTCACAGTCTCTACACACAGGATTCACACACTCCCCGTTGGACTCCATTCTTGTACCTGCCACACAGTTACATGAAAAATATTATTTGAAAATCTATGTAATGAATTATATTATATATGAATCATTGATTATATAGAAGCAGAGCATAAACCTAATGTTTCATGATTGTTTGCAAAAGGGAACTGGGCTGAAGCTGGTTTACCTGGTTTGCACATTTGACAACACTCTCCATTGAGCAGATATTGTGTTTCTGGATCACAAAGAGGATCTGCAGCAGCAAACACCTGTAAATAACATGTAGATAGAAATATTTAGCTTTGTTATATACGTATATTTATTCATTTCTAGTAAATGTCTACACACAAGTGTCATGTTTAATTGGTGTAGTAGCTTATCACGTCCTCTTGAAACTAGATGATGATATGGGAAGGGGTGAAAAGTAACCCCATGAACTATTACTTATAATTGTACTTGAGTAAAAGTGTATCCATTTAAGTATAGCTACATTACATTTGACATAAACCATGTCTAAGGAGCGGCACAAGTTCCCACGTGTCATCATTTGCTTCATTTGTCCCTGAGCGCAATTAGAAAAATATGAATCAAAAAAGAATACTGAAAATAATAATATTAATTATATAAAGTTTCGTGATAAACGCCAACGATAACTCAAAGTGCCGATAAATACAGAAAGAATTCAAATATAAAGGGGCGTGTCCATAGTGGGGAAAGAAGTTGGGATTGTCCATGTTTTACGCAAAGTTTCACGCCAATACAACCCTAAACTTGTATTACTTTTCTACGTTGTGTTTGTAAAAGTTTTAACTTACTGTTACGCTAATGTCAATCTGTGCAAAACGAAAGTGAAACTACACGAGTCATTGTAGGCTTGAATGGACAACTAGGAACAAAACCGCAAACAAGGTAAGCGAAACCAACATTAAAATAATCAGGATTGTGAATTTGGGAAAACTTTAGCGAAACAATATATTAAACCCAACATTGATGGAAAGTCAACACATAGTAACTTACCGCTGACGTCCAGAGCAGAAGGACGCAGAGCTGAGGGGACCTCATGTTGGAAAGTGCGTAAAGTGAAGTTTCTCCGTGCGTCAGGGCCATGGATCTATTATAACAACAGGGCGAACAGTTCTGATAAACGTGAGCTCCCAGCGCTCAGAGCTGGATGGAAAAGCTTGGTGCTTCCCATCAGCAGGAGCTTCTCTGAGCCACGTGATCTCTGCTAAAGTGACCATTTCCTGTAAATAGAGGGAGATGTGAACCCATGGTATGTAGGATTTATTACAGGTACACAGTTGGAATACCCCTCAGCGTGTATTTGCATTGATGGATTTTATAATGGTTTGATGAAAGGAAGGGTATCCACAAAGTCAATACAATCATATTTCTAATCAATATACTGTAAGTTGAATCTGTTTTAGATTTCTCCCACAGGAGGAGGAGACCTCCGCATCCGTGATTTGACAACGGATAAAGTGAAGAAAGAAAATGGATGGATATGGATTGTCCTATCCAGTACACGTCATAGGACCAAGCAATTCAGTAATGAATCAACGTAATGGCGCCCTCTAGTTGATAAAAATAAGATTTATTATATAAAAAGGAGAGTCACTGTCAGCATGATACTAGTATTACTGAGTTAGAACTCTGCTGGGGATTTCTTACTGTAGTAACTGGTCCCAGGTATTTGTGTGTGAGTTAAGCCTTTTCTCCTTGGCACCAAACTAGGAGGGTTAGGGTTTCAATAAAATTGAGTTTCAATATTAGTTAATATACTACTATAAGATGCAGTTAAGAAATTTAACCCTAACCCAAAAATAATATCACTTCTTCGGATAAATAAAAATAAATATTATTGTATAGTAATCATAATATCTGATTTACGATACTTTTGACAAGGTATTATTGAATTATACCTTTTTGGGAGAATGTTTAGAGGTAGGTTCATTAGAGTTCTATAATCTATATTTCTGCTTTGAGTATAGCTATGCTCATTTTACTGAACTAAAGCAAAACTAAACTTAGACTAAGCATCCTCTTTACTTTGGATATGTATAATGAATACAATTTGTCTACAAAAACCCTAACTTTGCAACAATTGTGACAAATCATTACCTCAAACGCGCCCTCTAGTGACCAGACACACACACTTAAAGCAGGTAGAGACTTGACAAGCAACTTGAATAGTTTCACGCTGCACACAGAGAGAGAAAGCAGTAGGTGTGGCTGACCTGGCTCCACATACAAGACCTTTGCAACTGAAAAGGAAGTGTCACAGTTCAAAACACGGGGAAACCAGCTTGTACAGAGTAACTTGCGAAAACATGGACAATTTACAGCATTCCGGACATAAATAACATGTGAATGCATTTTGAAACTCACAAAAGGACAACTATAATTCGTCCAACATGGAGTGGGGGTCTGGGAATGTCCCACAGGTAAGTTTAGTCCATTTCAAGACACAGTCGCTTCTGTCAATGGGAAAAAGAACATGTAGGAAAGGCGGCAAAGGGCTTTACTAAATAGCAACTATATTAGATTATGTTATTTGGAGAAAGTTGATTTTTTTTTTAATAGTTCCTTAAATGTAAACAACTTCCTTGCAGGTAAAACGTCAGTGTAGGTAGAACAATTGTTTTGGTTTTTTTGGTTCTTCTTTTCAGACAATGGATTAATTGTGTGAGAGGTTAAATATATGTGTGTTTGCGTGCAATATTGAAACTGAATCAATTAAAAGTGTAGACGCCGCTGAATAGACATAATCTTGATCATGGTCAAAACATAAACTCCTCATCAGGAGAGAGCTCGGGGGACCACATATAATCACCCTGTAAACACACCTGCATCTATCTGTCTGTCTCTCTGTCTGTGTGTGACTCTCTCTCTCTCTCTCTCTGTGTGTGTGTGTGTGTGTGTGTGTCTCTGTCTGTGTCTGTTTGTCTGTCTCTCTGTGTGTGTGTCTTTCTGTGTGTGTGTGTGTGTCTATCAGTCTGTCTCTGTGTGTGACTTTCTCTCTCTCTCTGTGTGTGTCTGTCTGTCTGTTTGTCTGTCTCTCTGTGTGTGTCGTCTCTGTGTGTGTGTGTGTGTGTGTGTCTATCAGTCTGTCTCTGTGTGTGACTTTCTCTCTCTCTCTGTGTGTGTGTCTGTCTGTCTGTTTGTCTGTCTCTCTGTGTGTGTCTCTTTCTGTGTGTGTGTGTGTCTATCAGTCTGTCTCTGTGTGTGACTTTCTCTCTCTCTCTGTGTGTGTGTCTGTCTGTGTGTTTTCTCTCCGTGTGTCTCTGTGTGTCTGTCTGTCTCTGTGTGTGTCTTTCTCTGTGTGTCTGTCTGTCTGTATGTCTCTCTGTGTGTGTGTCTCTCTCTCTCTCTCTGTGTGTGTGTGTGTGTGTCTGTCTGTCTTTCTCTATGTGTGTTTCTGTCTGCCTTAAAATAATAAATTCAATATTTTTGCTTTTGTTCCAGCTGAGTAATGAGATGCAGCTGATCATCATGAACAAAGTGAAGCGAGGAGAACTGTCCATCGACGACGCTCTGAACCAGGCCAGACAAGACCGCGAGCTGTTGCGCAAACAGAAGAGCACGGACCAGGTGACCTCAGGTTTTTTATTCACCAGACAACACTCACATTGTATCTTTGATTAAACTGTGTGGGATTGAGCAAATTAGGGCTAGAGTTTGATGACTTTATTACTCAATAGAGTATTAAAAAAGAGCTGTTTTATTATTTTGTAAACGCTGGACCTGATTTTCAAACAATGAAAGAAAGAAGGATTCAAAAGCCTCATTACCACTGTGCAAAAACACAGGAATTTTGACCAATAATCCAAAGGTGCCCTTTCATTACACACTGAGCAACATGGGCTGGCATTTCAGAACGGCTCAACATCTGACCTGCCTTACAACCTAGTCTTTTTGCCAAGGTGTGATAAGTGTGAATACTACGGCTAAAGACAGCGGTCATTATACAGCAATAAAACCTAAGTGCTTCATAGCTCGTTGCTTACATTGTCAGGGGACGGAGGTTATAAAATGACACAAAGGGGAATACTAGCATTATGATATCAAAGTTTGGGCTTTCGCACTCGCTGCTCTTTGTTGTTCTAGTGAAGAATATGTTTTAAAATGCTTATATTGCTTCATGGCTAGGCGAGTTTATTTGTATAACACAGTTCATGCACAAGGCAACTGAAAGTGCTTAGCAAAACAAGAAAAGAAACACACAGAAAAATTACACAAGGCCTTACATTCATAAATAATCACAGTACATTAAAAAGTACATACAGTCCTTCAGTTGTATGCACAGCTAAACAGTACTAGATTTGAACATTGTCCGAGTAGAAGCCTGTCTCACATTTTCTGGAAGATTCTTTGCCAGATTTTAGCTGCATAAATCTGAAATGCTGCCTTCCCATGTTTAGTCCTGACTCTGGACACCAGCAGGCGTCCGAGTGTATATGGCTTTAACATGTCGCAGATGTACCATGGAGAGAATTGTACACAAGCAGAGCTTCTCTAGTCTATTCTCTTTTGAAAGTTTGTTTTGACCCGTTCCTGTCTTTCTCGTGGTGAAAAGCCAAACAATGCACTAAATTTTTTCCACTGTAGTGTCGACCCATTCTGTAGACAGAATGAAATTACCTGTAGATTACATGCATCAAATTATCAAAAAGACACAGAGACAGAATTGTTGTTATTAACATAATGTCCTGGAAGGAACCTGTTTGAGGGTCAGTGTCATAAAAGCTTCAGTCCTCGTGCTTCCAAGGTGTTCTGCCACTTTCCATCTGATACTGACCTCAGAGGAATGTGACCAGTGCTAGTAACACAAACCTTACTTAAAAGAATAGTAGTAGTAGTAGTAGCGATAGGCATGCAATTTAAAATGTTTTTTGTTCTGAAACTGTGTGCAGAAGACATTTAAATATGTAACTTTTTATTTTTCTTTTTGGCCAGTCAGTCACTTCGTTGTCTCTGTGGTTCTGAGTTTGCTTAGAATGTTCCACTGTAAACTAACAATATTCTTATTCAGATAAAAAAAAAAATTGTGTAATGTCTGTTTGTCTCTCCAAAAAGTGTATCACAGAAGTTGGTGACATAATTGAGTTATCGTAAATCATACAATGTAAACAGTTCATGTTGGAACTACTTCAGAAGAGCCGTGTGAGCTCCAACTGTTCTGAGAGCTGATTGGCTGCTGCAGGGGTAATCTGCCCTGATTCACATCTGTGTGTGAGAAAGCTCTCTGTCGTGCTAGTGGCCAAACATTCACTCAGATAGGAATAATATGGATTTAAATATCCTCTTTTACTTTTGAATGTCAAATACCAGTATCATAACTAAAGTGATCTCTTCAGTCCGTCCCCAAATGTAGAAGTTAGACATTCTAAAAAATATTTGCTTCCTATAGAAGTTGGTGCTTTGAACCTGCGAAATGGAAATGTTAAAACGGTTTCTATGATAATAGATTAGATGGAGAACATCTTTAATTAGAAATACTGCTTTGTAAATACATTGTACATTGTTCTACATTGTAAAAATAAAAAAGTCTTTAAGAGCTGCAACTACTGATGCAGCTCTTATAGACTTATCAGAGTCATAAAACCTCTTCTCAGCATGTGGTTCAAAAGGTGATCACTTGACGAAAATATTTCAATAATTAATTGGTTTAAATTAATCAATTAACTTGCCCTAAAATACACCTTGAACCCTGAACCTCATTCAACTTACCGACGTACAGATTGGACCCTTCTCACTTTTAGACTTCTGTTTTGGGAGTGTGTTAAAGTATAATCAAAATATCAGATATTATGGGACCTCACAGCTTGTACTGTTATAGGAAAATTTAAAAAGAAAAAAAATACAAAGAACTTGTCTAAAGAATGCCATTATTACAGCGTGCCACTCTGGTTTTCTGGTTCCAGGTGCAGGAACCAGATCAGTCGCTCTACAACTTCAGCGTTCACAAACACGGACGCTACCGATGGCAGAAACGTGTTATTCAGGTAAGTTCACTTTTACAATAAACTTATCTAATGATTTAAATCCCACATGTTTGAGCTTATAACCCTGGATGAAGGTGTTACTACAGACAAAAAGAAGAACACTTTTAATGATAAAGCCACAAGCTAAAAGCAATGTGTCTGCAGAGAAATAGTTTTTATCTCTATGATGTATCCCACTAATGCCTTTAGAGGGCGACAGAAACCCAACAATTAATATTGTTGGGTTTTATGGACATATATTTATGTCCATATATTCTATTTCACAGATATATTATTGACACAACATGTTTATTATTGATTTACAATACATCAATTCATTCTCTATCAAATTGATATTTCAAAATACTCATTTGAATGATCATGAATCTCATCAACAGCTTTGATGAACTCTAAACTAGATACACTTTTTTGTGGGCAGAGAAAATGTTATTGCGGACAAATTAACAAAATCCTTTTAGACTCTAACAGTCTAACAGACCCTTTATAAATCGTTTGAGCAGCATAAAAACATAAAACACAGGAAATGTCAAACAGTAACATACTGTAAAGGGTTCAATGGGATTTGCACAAAATGTAAAATGAAATATTATCTATTCGATATTTTTCACTCAATCTAGGTTTTTGAAAATGATACAATATTCACATTTTTATTTAACATTCTCCAAAACACAATTTTGTGATACACCTCCCATCTCTGTTCTAGTCCAAGTTTGACCTGGTTGGATTCACATGTGCAATGTGAAATGTTAGTATACATTTGTTCTTCTATTACTAACCCTAATAATATCAATAACTCGTCTCCTGTGTGTTTCTATAGTTTGACTTCAACTCTAAATTGCTGTGCAGCATTGAAAAAGGCATCGTCAAACGACAGCTGTCCTTCTCCATCGTGAAGAGCTGTGATGATGGCGCTGGCTCTAGGTTTTCCATCTCCTTCAAAGAACACCACGACTACGAGCTCGAGGCCACGTCTGTGGAGGACAAACACAAGGTCTGGACCACAATACAAGCTCTGACCTGTGACTGAATGGGAGAAAGGGCCTCGAGATGTAGCTCGACTGCATTTCTGAACATTTTATGTCTGTAAACAATCAGATGAAATTAAAACTAAGCCACTTTCGTGACTCATTAGGTTTGTTTGACTGCAGCTTTACTTTATTGAACGGTCAGAGTTGGTGTAAAAATTGATGAGCCGAGAACAAAGAAACCATGCAGCCTCTCAGGGATGGATGTCTGATGAACAAAACTAAAGTGTGTGCTGTTTGCGTCCTCCATAACTACTAACCAACACCACCACAACAGATCCAGACTTACACATTGTCACATTAGGGAAGAAGAAGAAGTTTTCATTTATCATGATCTGTGTAACCAAAATGAACTGCATGTCCTTTATTATACACATTTATATTAAGCTGTGGCGGATCCCACAATAGGCTGTTTTTGTAAGTATAGATGGCATGGCAGCGTCTCACCACGGGTGTTGCTCCGGTACCTCTGACATCAGGGGGTCGGTCACAAAATCTTAACCTGATGCACTCTCAGATCAACACGAATCAACACACCCATCATTTCTGTAATGCAAATTGTTGCATCAGCTTTGAATGAGCCACCAATGTATCAAATGTGTGTTTGTATTTATAGTATTAATGCATTTCCCCCAACAATCTGGAGCAAGTGTCAACCACAAATTATACTTTTGAGCACATGCCAAAGATACTGAATCTTGAGACATGTTGCCAAGCTGAACGTTTGGTTGTTCATCTTTCTTGGATTATATCTCAGGGAGTGGAAGAAGCTGTTCCTAAATGCACAGTTACATATCCTAATCTACTCATATTTTCATCCCTTCTTATCATGTTTGTGTCATGTTTTGTGCAGATGATGGAGTTGGTGAATAAAATAATCTATGACAACATCTACTCGGCTCATGAAGAGGGCAGTGTAGAGACAGCTCAGCCGTCCACACCGCCCCCCAGTGTCCGTGAGGGAGTACTGCTGCTGCACAGAGGTGGACTGGCCTCCTTCAGATGGGTCAGGTGGGTGCTCTGCAATAAAGCAGTTTGGAAGTAGCGTCCAATGTTGCCAATTTTTCACCTGAATGGAACCAAGTCTGCAACCCAAAATCACATCTTATCTCAAAGGGCCTTACAAGATGGCTACTCCAATGGCAGATTCAGATTACTTGCCATTTGCAGTAAAACCATATTGGTATAACTGTGCAAGACGACTCCAGTGTGCACTAGACAGAGAAGATAGTACACACCACAGCTCTTGCCAGATTAGACAATAGTTCTTTTTTACAAATTGGTAATTATACACATTCACACTTGTTGGTCTGGTTCAATTTAACTGTTACAATTCTGATTCACTTGGGGGAAAATTCAGACCAACAAGTGTGAACATGTCCTTAGGTAATGCACAATTCATATCCAGGGCTTTACAAAACAAGAAAGGGAAAACAAATATAAATATAAATAATCACACAACAATCTTATCTTGAATTTGATTTAGAGATAATTAAGTTGCTAAATAGAAATGTTAAAAAAAGACTCAAACATGGTCAGTGTAGAAGCTGGTTTCACGGTTCCAGATTGTAATTGCATAAATCTGAAATGGTTTGTTTCAGGTACCAGGTGCAGCTGCTGCCCGGTCAGCTGGTCATGGTTCCTCTCAAACGCAGATCCACAGCGGAGGGAGAGATGTCGCCGACTGTGGCCACAGTCATCCACCTGTCGGACGGGAACACCACAGTGCAAAAGACACACAGCCCAGAGACGTTCAGCCTGACCACAAACAAGAATGAATACCAGTGAGAGCGATCCAATGTGACAGTAAAAACAACACATTAGTTGTAGTAGTAATTATTTAAAAAGACAAAATAGTAAAACATGATACAAAATAAACAGCAATACACAGTTTGAAAAAGGGTTTTTACGGTAAGCAGCGACTTACATGCTCTCCCCCTGTAGGATTTCTCCGGAAGCTCCTTCAACTAAAACACACACACACACACACGCACACACGCACACACACACGCACGCACGCACGCACGCACGCACGCACGCACGCACGCACGCACGCACGCACGCACGCACCCACACACACACACACACACACACACACACACACACACACACACACACACACACACACACACACACACACACACACACACCTTTGGACTTAAACATTTTCCATTGGTCCCAATCCCCTCTAACTATGTAACCGTTGCAATTTATAAATATAATAATATAAAATTTTCCATTGTTTACTTGCAGTTTCAGAATCCCACCTCCAGAGGCAGAAAACCTGTCCATTTCTGTGAAAAGTGAACGAGACGAGTGGATCCAGGCCATCGACAAACTGTGCAAAGACTGGAAAAGAAAATCCCACAAAGATCACACTGGTGGACACAAAACTGGACTACCAAACCAAAGCATAGCAGAGGAGGAAGACGATAATGACCTAGACCAGGAAACGGCCAGCAAAAAGCTTAATAATGACGCAAGTAATGCAACTTCTGACAATGTTTACTCAAATGCTGCTATTTCTTGGGAAGGGGCAAAACCGGTGCCAAAACGCCGCGTAATTCCAGATGTACCAAATTTGCCAAATCATTCAACAGCAGGTCATAGCATCGCACCTCCGCCATATGTCCCAAAGTCACCAATGACGCAAAACTCTGTGCCAATGTCGCCAACCAGCAACAGATATGCCCCAATGTCTCCAAAAGCTATCAATATTCACCCACAATCCCCGTTTAGCCCACATTCAAGCATTGTTCTACCACCACCATCTCCCACCAGTCCTAATCTGCAATCACATATAAGTGCTTTGCCAAAAGTCCCCAGTGATTTGCACCCACAGCCTGTAGTTTCAGTGTTGCCACCTACTCCCTCCCCTCCACCCTCTCCTCAGTCTCCTCCTCCTGCCTTCGTTCCCCCACCTCCTCTGCCCAAGATCCCCCCTCCCCCCCCTCTTTTGCCCATTAAAGCAAGAACACTGACCAGGCAGAATCTGACCAGGCCTTTCCACTGGGACATCATTGGTCCTGACAAGGTAACAGAGTTTATTCATATCTGCTAATATCGACAAAATTATGTGGCTGAAATCATAGTTTTTTTGTGTTTAGTTTATTTTTCCTAGTATATTTTGTTATATTCAAAATGTTCAGCTAACCCCAATACCAAAATCTAACCACAAATGTCACACAATCCGTGAGACATAACATTTCAAATTCAGTCAAATCTGAATTTATAACTTTATAATAACATGGATAGTTACACATATAACAGTTTTTCAGAAGTTAAAAGTGGCTTTCTCTAATGTTAAGAATGTTAGAATGCCAAAGCAAAGCGTTTCAAAATAATGTATGTAATGTGTCCTTTGAACCTGAGTCCTTTGGTCCAATTTTATTCCATGAAACGCTGCTAGAGAACTACAAGTTGGTCTTAGAGTCAGAAAGTCTCCAAAAGGAAAACGAAATGATAGATCCATATATATTGTCATTCCATATATTTAGGCCTTACATACTTAGACCTTAGCAGCACTGAGTTGCGTTTCTTTTCTTGGCAGATCTCCAAGTCTTTCTGGGGCCAAATTGGAAATAAAACGATTGAAATTGACACGTCACGTTTGTACGAGCAGTTTGCCGTGAAGAAAACAGAAAACACACATGGGCCCCTGGAGTCCATTCACACTCAGAACATCATGCTGAACCAGAAAGTCGCACATAACTTCAGTAAGTACACTTTAATTCAATTCAAGTTATTTTTGTATTCACAACAGTGGTCTCGATAATAACAAATTCATTGGATCCATTGGTCCATAGAGCACGACCATAAATGTCCATAAATGTAGTGGATCATAGCTATATCCTTAGACCATCCTGCAAACAGAGCTAGCACTGTTTAATTCACTATTCCCTTGTGGCGGATAAAAGCATTTCCCCCGACCCCTGGCTTCCTCGATTGGGTCGGTTCATGGTGTTGGTTTTTGTGGTTCCTTGGGCAGCCCCCTCCAGGTCGCTCCTCTTTTGTTAGCATCCACTATGGAGTTGGTACATGACTCCTGCAGGCAAAGTATAGTGTCTTTAAAACAACATGATTTTCCATTGAAATGAATGAACGGAGCATGTCTGTGATGCTAACACCAATCCAATACAATCCACTTTATTTATATAGCACATTTTATAAAACAAGTTTCCAAAGTGCTGCACAGAGATAAGATTAACACATTTAAATATACAGGTTTGCCAGCATTATATGTTTTAAAAAAATAGACATAAACATTATGCACAAAGTAAAAACAATTAAAATGTAGTGAAAACCATAAAATACCAGTGCTATTAACATGCTATGGTGCTTTTAATGTTTGGAATCGTTCTGTATAGCACCTTTCACAGGCAAAGGCCACAAAGTGCTTCACAACACAGTAAAACATCACAAAATTAAATACAATATAAAAAGGGTCAAAACAACACAGAAATCGTATCAGCCCAAAAATAGCTAATTAAAGGCTTGAACAAATAAATGAGTCTTAAGATTGCTTTTAAAAGTATCAACCGAGTCAGTAGAGCGCAAAGAGGGCGGAAGATCGTTCCAAAGCCTGGGAGCAACAGCCTGGAAAGATCGGTCACCTCTTGTACGAAAACATCTAATCTATCATGAGAAATCATGATAGATGAGAACCAGCAGGGTGCAGTGTGTCTCTAACGCTGGGTCTTTTCACTCCTCATTCAAGTTCAATTGTCAAGTGCACAGTCCTCACATCTCCTCGCCTTACCTTATGATATTGTGCAGATGTTATTGGAAACTTTACAGAGCAGTTCTATGCTGAGTCAGGAGTAATCTGTCTGAAGAATTTTCACTATAATTCATCTCCTCGATTACAACAGGAGTGGTCAGACAAAATGTGTTTTTTACTTCTGGCTATTTTATTTCCAACCCAGAGAGATCTTTTCTTTCACCGGACAGATAGTTATTCTGATTTGTTCTGTCCTATCGTCCCTGATTAATATTTACAGTCCATGTGTCAGATGCAGAATACTTTGCTTTTCTATTGGCCTCTCCTCCGACCTTGTGAACAGATCAGTGAAAGCCTTCTGCAGAAAACCTGGAGCTGTATTTTAGCATTTATCCGCATAATAACATTAAAGAGGATGTGTTTTAAATAAGGCAGCCGCATGACTTGAGGTTCTATTACACTTATGTTCTGATTGTGTGACGCACTTCACATTTGTAACGCCTGTAGTTGTCGGGCAATTAATTCAAGTCAGATGAAAACAATACCCTTAAGATCCTGTAGACCAAAGAGAAAATGGAAAAACTAGTGGCAAAGAATTCATGATTAATAAAAGAATGAATGCGCTTGTTGTGTAGTAGTAGGTGTAGTATTGTCCTAATGATACAATAGTGATGTTATTATGACCTATTTTCATTTGTTTTATATTCTTCAAATATTATCATTCCATTCCAAATATTTAATTAATTCACATAATTTCAATTCTTATTTACAAATTCAGGAAACAAAAATGTCTTTGAAGCCTGTAACTCCCTTATTTAATGGTTACAATATGTCACCACTTACTGATTATTTGGGTCTGAATTTTGCAGTAAGTCCGAAGTCCATGTCCGAAGTGGAAAGCACTTGCCTCACACCTTCTGACGTGCATAAACTCAAAAAACTGCTGTCACAGATTTACCCACGATTACCCTCATGTTGAACTAAGCCTGCCTTAATACAGTTTTTTATCATGATAATTACAATTGTGCTTTTCTCAGCACGGCGTTGTAAGGCTTGAATTTTGTCCTCCCCATTATTCCCACCCAAGCCTGGATGTGTCCCACTAAGAAGATGCTTATTTACCTTGAGAGCGTGTTGTGGTTTGATGACTGAAATGCCGCGGTGCTTATTAGAAGAGCACCTGTGGCTCCTGTGCCCAGTGGGAGGCTGCTGCCATTTAATATACAGAGAAGTGACAGTGTGGACTTCAATCATCAAAATAATAATAATAATAATATACTCTCAAAGGTGCATCACATATATTCATTGACTCCCTACACAACATGAAACGTTTGGCCTGGGGCAGATTGACTAAAGTGAGGTTGCCGATCTGTGCTACCAGCCCCTCTGACCACCACCATCATTCATGCACACACACCAGACTCATAGTAAACAATGTGGGTTAAGTGTCTTGCCCAAGGACACAACTCGTCCCCTTGTTAGATGAAATAGCGGCTCCACACTGTTAGCGATTGCACCTGATTCACTTAAATAGTTTGTATTCGTTTTCCATGAACAAATTTTGTACAAATATTTTTAGGTGACATTTTTGGTACAAAATCCAACATTTGGATGCCATGTTTTTGACAACAGTACCATCGACTTGACGTTAAACAATTCTCGTAGGTGCATCTCATCTGCTTTTTTCAGAGTGATTAAGTGGAAACACTTTGAGCCACTCCATCTTACAGGAGCCCGCTGTCAAAGAACAGCTTTTATGTTTCAAACGAGCTCCGCTTTAGTACAATGTGCTTTTTGTTTTGTTTTTTCTCTCAGGTATTTTTCTGAAAAGTTTCCCTGTGAGTCCTGGAGAGCTGAAGGACAGACTGTTCATAGTGAAGGAGGTGGATGGAGGCCTGTCTGACGAGCACATCACTGCACTGAGAAGGTGACGATGCTTTTACTCTGTCTAAAGCTGTGTTCAGACCGCCAACACTGGAACGCTGAAGCCTCGCTCACCAGAGGCACATTCTCTAGTTTTCAGACGCACGGGACTTCACACCAGAATGTCCCCGGCGGACTTTGATGCTAGTGGGTTTTTGTGTTAAGTTCGTCTCCAATAAGACAGCTCTGCTGGGTCTCTGTGTCCAGAGACCTTCCATGGACTTTATATAATAGTAGTATGTGTTCACGGAGGTGCGCCATACGTTTATTTTATTATCAAATGGTACTTCCACTCCTGCTCCTCCCCATCGACTTTCCCGCGCAGTCCGTGCGTCTCTACTGCGCAGTCCGTGCGTGCATTCCGAGACGCACATGCATTTTGACGCTCAAACGCGCGTCACCATTGACTTTGCATTGAAAGCTGACGCAACGCATGATCTGGTCTGAACACACCATTAGGGTCAATATTGATAGTATTTATAGGGCAATAATAGACCTGTTTGCATTGCAATGGTGATCACATTTGATCTGTTTATTCAGTCTATATGTTAAAGTTGAACGGCATGTCAGTTTAAAATAGTTTTTGGTCAAGTCTCTCAATATGATACACGATTCATTTGCTCCACATTTGGTTCAGTGGTGAGTTTGCCAAATTGTGCCATCGGCTCCTCCGACCACTCTCACTCACTGACCAGATTCATACTGCTGCATGTTTTAGGTGATGGAGTAAACAGGTAGTCAGGCTGGTGCCACCTTGTGTCTCTGCTCAGACTCATACAAGGGCAGGCATCGCACATGGCTCAGAGAAATCAGGAAGTACAACTGGCTCATCAGCAAGCCCTACATTCTGTGTTTGAAAAGATGCACAAAAAATGAGGATTAATGCCAGAACTAAGAGAAAGTTTAAAGAGTTTGAAAGATGTTATTGCCCTGCTTTTGACATACATCAAAACCAAACAGCAGCGATTGGTTAGAGCAGAAAGGAACCTGTCCAATGTGGAGAAAACAAATCCTGACATTGCAATTTCAGACTATTTCCTTCGAAGTGAAATGATTGCCGATGGATCACACGGGTAAACTGGTGCACTTGGAGGAAACCCATCCACACACTGTTAAAATTTAGATTTGTTGCCCTGGTTTTTGATCCCGTCTGTGTGAATACTGGAACAATTGGCATGGGACAAAAATTAAATTAATTGTCATCCTCATAAAACAAATCTGACATTTTCTTTTCACAAAAGCTTCAGTAAGTGGTGCCATTATTCAAGGTTGAGGACATGATTGCTGTCAGTTGAAATGATTTAGTAATTTTCAGTTTTCGTCATCAACTTGTAGTGAAATGAGTATGAAATATTTTAGCAAAATAAACTTTCTTTGTTGACTTATATAATGGAAGTTATTACTTTGTTTGATCCCTTCATTTTGGCAGCATCAGTAAAATTGTGCTACACCAAGAAAACACAATTAATCTTGGAACTACTAATGCAAAAAAGCTGCTGCTGATCTGTATGCGCAGTGTATGGTGGCACATAGAGGTCAAAAGTGTGTGAGCTGTGGCTGATGTTCTGTTGCTTCCAAGGACAGAAACTTGGAAACAGAATCTCCAATGTTTTTGAAGATCTTATACGGGACTTCCATACTTTATTCATAACTTGAAATAGCTGCAACATGATGTGGGGAAGATTGGTTTATTTCCATTGTATTGGATAAGGCTCCTGAGAGGTTAGAATACTCGCCTCTCAGCAAGCAGGTTCTGGGGTCAAATCCCTGGGTATCTGTGTAAATTTTCAAATATTCCTTCCATGTCGGTGGGCTTCCATGCACTCACAAAGTTGTCCTGATAACTTTGTACTGAACAAAACTATAGTCAAGATCTGGTGGTAAGTCCACAGAAGTCAAGGGTGTTGGGTGGAACTGGGGGCCAAATTCAAAACTCAAGGTCATCTTAAAAATATCTAAGTTTGGGATTGTTTTGTGGTAAGAACAAAGGTTTAGAAATTACCCTCTGGCTCTGAGTTTCACAAAAACATTCACACGTTTCTCACATTTGTGGTTACAGATCCAGAGGTCTTCTGCACCATTTTTAATCCATAAATACCAGCACTGTGTTATTATTGGTTTTATTGATAAAACAAGGAAGTTACTGATAAGGGCATTGAGAGGCTTGAAATGCTTACCAAAACACAACTGTCACAATTTTTATTTATATTGCATTCAATTGGCGCTTTTCCGTTTACACTCCTTTGAGGAAGACTACACGCTGTCCACTTCACAGTTTTCTTGTTAAAACGTCTGTACCTTTTATTAGAGCATCTCAGGGATAAATCTTTCATCAGTTTGGTTATTTGTGGAAATAGACACTTGGACATCAGGGCTTCAGGAGAAGTACCATACCTGAAGTCTACCCTAGCATCGACCTGTAGCACTGGATTTTGATCTAATGGTACACTTATTTATTCCATATGGAATAACCCATAATATATATTTTAATACACGGGCCACAGGAGTACACTCTTGAAAGGGGCCTCTCCAACAGGTGCTGAAATATTGATGTGGGCCTGGCCTCTATGGTAGAATGAAGCTGGATTAGATTGTAAGACATGAGAAATGACAAGAGGACATTTCTCATGTATTTAAGACAGGTTCAGATCGAGAGTAGCTGAAAAGGCGCTAAAGGACCAGTTTAATTATAAAGGAGCAAAGAAAATGCATGATCAAATGAATAGTTAATGATACATCTGTAGCATTCACAACATGCGAGCTAAAATGTCCACCCGGTTTACATTTTATTGCTTTGATATTCACAGTTGTTTATTCATTAGTTATTTTCAAAACAGACGTGAATGATTTATGTTACCCAAACATATGGATTTGAATCTTGTTGTGCTAAATCCATCCATCCATTTTCTTCCCCTTAATCCATTTCTGGCAGTCAGAGATGCCACCCATTGCACAGAGCACCAGCCCCTCACTGATCCTCCTGCAGGTGGTGAGTCCACAGGAGCCGAGATCTTTCAGCAGGGGCTTCAGGCAAAGTGGGGTTAAGTGTCTTGCCCAAGGACACAACGACAGCAGTCATCAGTGGGAGTCATGAAGTAGGTCTCATGGTGGGCTTGAACCCACGACCTTCAGGCCCAAAGGCCAATGCTCTACCAACTGAGCCACTGTCGCCCCTGTTGTGCTAAATGTGAACAGTTTTTCAGTACAAATATAATACAAGCTTGACAGAATTGTGTTTGATATCAGATTTATAAGTCATTATTCTTTCACTCCACACATGGTAGAGGTAAACTACAGCCACACTGCCCAAATGACAAAACTGAGACTACTGATCTGCACCACCAGCCCCTCTGTCCATCATTCACTCACACACCAGATGCATATGGTGCATGCTTTGGGTGGTGAGGGAAACCAGAACCTGGAGCAAACAAAGAAAGACCCACGACCTTCTAGGTGTGAGGCACAAATGCTAAGCTATTGATTTACCTGGTTAGTTTACTGAACCTATCCACCTGACACCAAGAGGGATAAAGAATGTGATTCTAGTCTACATCGGTTTGACTTTGGAAACCTTCAATAAAGCACAATGTTTCCAGAACTCACTATGATTTTGTATATTTTCTGAAGGTATGTGCCGACCATCGACGATGTGGAAATGTACAAATCTCACAAGGGGCCAGTGTCGGAGCTGCATGTGGTGGACCAGTACATGATGGAGGTGAGTGTCCTGAGCACCAGTGCCACTCTGAAGTGGCTGATGAGACCTGACAGCTGCTGTCACAGTAGCTCTGAGATCATTTAGTATCATGCAGGACTGTACGGCACTCAAGTCACTTGTAAAGCTTCCCCTTGGACTTCCACCTTAACCTTGTAGGCGAGTTTTAGTACTCGGATGATCCTGGGAGCTATGTTGTCTGGGGTTTAAACAGGTCTTGGGTGATGAGTCGGACAAAGCGCAGCCCAAAGCCACCATGAATTTTCCCGGCATAGCGCACCTGGGGCCCCACCCTGGATCCAGGCCTGGGGCTGGGGCTCGTAAGCGTAAAGAGGGAGCTGAGTCCAAAGGTAAACCGGATACATTTAGTTGTAGCTTGGATTGATTTTGTTCTTTTGGTCCAAAAAAAAAATGCAACAGATTAACTTATACGTAAGACAATAAATAAAATCGCTCTAAAGACAAGACTTCAAGGAGAAAACACAAAATTGGTTGTGACATTGAAATAAATAAAAAAAGTGCTTTCCTCCTGTGTTGGGGTACTGCCTTGCATTTTATAATAGTAGTGTACAATGTCCTTCTGTCGTCTGCCTCTCACTGTTTGAAGTGTCAGCATTTCCACATCCTTCCCAGCATCAGTGTCCTCTGAGCAGCAGCTGTTTGCCCTGAGCTCAGGCCTGGGTTTGTGAGAGTCGTGTCGGATCATGGGAGGTCCATTTTTGCAACAAGGATTCATCAAATAACTGCATTTTAACGCTTCATGTTAAAATGACATATAGAATTGGCTTTTGTGACATATGTTTTACTGGTTTGACAAGTTTACACGTTCATTTTTATTCAATTCTTTTGCCAACCACATTGGCAACCCTGACTCTGGGTTTTTGAGTTGCTCTTGTCGATGCAGGAAGGTCTAAGGACAGTGGTGATAATCCGCTCCCTATGGACCAACGACTCCTCTGTGTTTGGTATTATTGCATTTCCTGTGTTAGAGAATCAAAAACTTTGTTAAGTCCTCCGAGACGACTGCTGTTATACAAGATAAACTGAATTTAATTGAATAGCCAAGAAGATATATCAACATTTGATGAGTTTAAAACTATGAGAAACATCTTCAATGATGTAAAATATTCTGTGCTCATATCAAAATGAAAAACTAGACAAAATGGTTAAAACAAATGTATTGTTTGTCATTAGAAATAATGATGACAGTGATAAAGCTGTCATTGTTATTTCTATTAGTAGTGTCAAAAATACATGCACATGTGAATCTTTAGTGATTATTTTTGTTTGACTCAAAATAGTCATGTAAAATGGTGTAGGAAACAAAGGTGAAACAGAGCAATGCTGAGGGGAGAAAAGATTAGCACTTAAATGTCAATTTAGTATGTAAATCCAATGTGGAACGTTCAAGGCAAAGCAGTAAAAGCAAAAAGTATAGTTCTCTTTACTAATAAGTATAGTTCTCTTTACTAATAAGTATAGTTCTCTTTACTAATAAGTATAGTTCTCTTTACTAATAGCACTCTTCACTAATAATTGTTCTGAACAAGCACCTGAAATGCATGGTTTAATGCAGGTGAAAACTCTCTGCATTTGCAATTGTGTGTCATTTCTCCCACTCTCCTTGGAGAATTGTTAAACGTCTGAATAAAAGCAGGGACCTTACCCAGCTTTTATGACTCATCCCAAATTGTCTTGACTTTATCTGTAGTTCTGCCTTTTAAATTATCATAAAAGTTTGGGCTACAGTGTTGGAGCAAAGTTATGCAAATATGGTGAACGATAGAAAATTAATAATAAAATTATGTTTGTATTGCCCCTTGCAATAGGTATGGTGGCGATTTTCTTCTTTTTAAAACCGTAGTTATTTCACAGTCAGTAATGTTGTCAGTCATAGGAATTTAGGACATTTTTGCCTATCAAATCAGAACTATGGTGCACAGTGGAGAAAACCCTAACCCTAACCCTGACCCATCTCAACAAGTAAAAGCTGACCAATTTAGTAAGTAAGAACAAGAATATTGACATGTAGTGTAACTACTGTATATATGCAATTTTATGTTTTTGGAAATTCTCACGCATTTCAGAACATAGCATCAGAACAGAACGCACAGAAACTTTAGTCATCGCATCATTGGTTTAAAAAGCTTCTCTTTTTGGAATACATTCAGGAGAATAAATATTTTTGTCCATTACATTTGTACAGAAAAGGCAGAGAACACCTGAGGATATGATTATGTCAAACCCAGTGACTAATGTTACACAATTCTAGCTTTAAAAGAATCAAATTGCTGCTATTACCTTGGCAAAGTGTCTGCTCAGCCCGGATTACAATTTTAAAATGAGACCAGATGTGTCATGAGACGAGAGCGTGACAAGTCCAGGTTCCAGGATCTCAAACAAAATCATATTAGACATCAGATCTCAGAAGTCAAGCAGGGTAAGGCCGAGTCAGTGGTGAATGGAAGACGCAGTAATAGCACACATCCTTACTTCTGTCGGTCTGTCCCAGCGCATTCGTGTCTATAATAGTATACCACCAGGTGTTTTGAGAGGCATTGGATTGGCTGTAAGTACTGTACATATGTTTTCCCTGACCACAGATTGTGTGCCGTTACAGATGTGCAACATTCCATACCTGAGCGTTCAGCTGGACCTGCTGCTGACTCTGAGAGAACTGCCTGTGTCCATGAAAGACCTACAGCCGGTCGGTCAACTCTTCTACATTCTACTATTCCCTAGTTCCCTGGTCCTACTACTACTACTACTACTACTATTTCTACTACTACTACCACTACTACTACTACTACTACTACAAGTACTGTTCCTACTTCTCCAAGGCAAGTTTATTTGGCACAGTTCATACACAAGGTAACTCAAAGTGCTTAACAAAACAAGGAAAGAAACATTAAAATCACACAAGGCATCAAATGATGAATACATGAAATAGTGAAGATACAATCCTTCAGTGTTTGCACAGCGAAACATAATTGCTTTAACCTGTATTTGAACAGAATAGATGCCTGTCTCACATTTTCAGAAAGACTGTTCCAGATTTTAGCTGCATAAAACTGAATTGCTGCCTCCCCATGTTTAGTTCTGACTCTGGGCACCAGCAGGAGGCCAGTCCCTGTGCTCCTCAGAGTCCGAGTGGGTTCATATGGTAGTACCATGTCACTTATTGTATGTACTTTGGAGGGACTTGTACACAAGCAGAGCTTTGAATATATTGCAGCTGTTTTACAGCTTGTTTTGAGAGACCTGTAAGCAGGCCATTACAGTAGTGACAGTCTAACCTTCCGGAGACAAAAGCATGGATAGAATCTCCAAGTCTGCTTTAGACACTTTATTTTTGATTGTGACACAGATGGTTACTAATTATATGTGGCTATTAAAATGAGTCTGAATCCATTACTAGCCCTAGATATCTGACCTGATTAGATGGTTTTAGGTAGTGGAGTGAAAAATAGCACTTTATTTTTTGTTTCTGGCGGCCAAAGAAATTTCAGTTTGGTCTGAGTTTAGCTGAAAGAAGTTATTTTATCCACTCGCTGATCTGTTGGATGCAGTGAAGCAGTAAGTCCTGCTGTTCTCCTGCAGTCAGTGTTGTCTGTGTTTGTGATAGGACACGTTACTGCGTATTAGCTTGTAGAGCTTGAACATACCGTTAAACAATTTTATATAAGCCTTTTATGGTCAATATTGAGATGACTACTATGGGTGTCATATATTACCATTGTAGCTAGACAGAACAACTAGTCATAACGAGTAATTTGAGTCTTGAGAATTATAGAAATATAAACATATCCTCACTACCACATACTAAAGACTGCACATCTGTTAAAAACTGACTTTAAAGGCTTTCTCCTCTGGCTGTGTTTTACAGTTGAAGTGATGGATGAGGTATTTTTATTCTGTTTGGTGCATAGTTAAGAGTCTTCAAATCAGTGAAACTCAAAAGCCACTTTAAGACTATGACATGGAAACAGGCCGGTCTTAATCAAATCAAGTTTCCCTTTTTGCCGTGGGCGTAAAACACGCTCAGATTTTATCCTCATCAAACACCCGCAGTAAAAGGCACTTTGAGGCGCTCAGACACTAACTGGAAATCAAACACTGATCAGCATTCTCTTAAAAGTAAATAACTCAGTAAATAAATGGCAACTTTGAGATGCATAAGTTTTGATAATAATTTAAAGTTTTGTCGCTGGAGTGGATGCCAAGTGCACAACATTGTGGTGTCTGGAAAAAGCTGTAATTTTGAATGTTCATCCAAAACATTGACGTGAAAAAGAAAGTCAAGCAAATAAGGAAAGTGCATTAGTGTACAATAAAGTAAATTAAAACACTCTACCAACTGCTCAGTTGGTAGAGCATTGGCCTTTGAGCCTGAAGGTCATGGGTTCGAGCCCACCATAAGACCTACTTCACGACTCCCACTGATGTCTGCTGTTGTTGTGTCCTTGGGCAAGACACTTAACCCCACTTTGCCTGAAGCCCCCGCTGAAAGATCAAGGCTCCTGTGGACTCACCACCTGCAGAAGGATCAGTGAGGGGCTGGTGCTCTGTGAACTGGGTGCAGCTCTGACTGCCACTCCCCGACCCAGAAATGGATTAAGGGGAAGAAAATGTATGGATAGATTGAAATTAAAACAATGCTAAACAATGATGAAACACAACTGCAAAAAAAGTCAAGATTTCCTGACAGTTTTCAACATTTATCTCATGCAAGAAGCTTCTATATGCTGGGAACAAATACTCATACTATTTTACCAACTTTTCTTTCACTTTATATATATAGGTTAAATGATTTTTCCCCCTCATACAAGTAAAACATTGTGAACAAATCAAACCACCATATGTGGTCTTCATCTTATTGAACACATGTTATCCTTTACTTTCTTGTAACGAAGCTTAGTCACTGATTGATGCTTTGGACTGAAAGCTGATTCTCCTTTTCACTTTTCCATAGGAAAAATCTAATTCAAAAATGGAACAGAAACCAAAAAATACATGCATGTGAAAACTGTGTTGAGAGTGAGGAAGTCAGATGGATAGTTCAATTTGTGGTTTGAAAAGTTTGGTTCCCCTGCTTTAATTCACATTAGTTCATGTTAGAATAATACTCAGAAAGCAACATCTCTTCAATGAATACACACTTTTGAGTTAGCTTTGTTTGCAAATAGATCCGTCATATTGCAAAAACACAAAACTCAAGCTCACAAACCACAAATACTTTTTTATCATAATATTTTTATTTTTATTTATCTTTTTGCGAGCTCGTCTCAAACATCCGATCGGCTTCGCTGCCCCAGCTCTAATCTCTCATCTGCAAATGTGGAGAAACAAGAGGGAGAAAGTGTGCGGTGCAGCTCATTGAGTGTGACAGTCATTTTTCACTGTCCCCAAACATATTGTGAAGTGTCGAGGAGGCTCCAAATGATCGATAAGACATTTCATTACGGTTAGTGTTTCCAGCCCACACTGTTGTGCTGCTTAATATAAAAGTGTGGGCCTGAAATGAGATGTCAGATACACAAGTTGTTCTAATGCAGTGTGTCCTATTATAAAGTCAGCTGTAAATCCAAGAAGAATGTGTTTGTCGGAAGTCATTGTGCTGCTGAAAAATAGAGGGTTCTATATATTTGATGCATTTAGTGTTGGTAGAGTTAGTGAGTTAAGAACGTTAATGCTGCAAAGAGAAAAAATCCAGAAATTATCCAAATTATAAATGATGTAACATTTTGAAGGTGAACCATGTCACGACTGTCATAGTTACAGGACATATTGTGGGCTAAAGGCTACTGCTTATAATTTATAATTATATGATTTTTAATATAAAAATCAAGCTAAATCTTCTTTTGTCTTTTGATATGAATGAAGGATATATAAATGTTTAGACTAGTTTTAAGTTCAGTAGTTTTTTTCCACAGAATTTTAAGCTTAATTTAGGCACGTTTAAATGATCTATTATCTTATCTTTTTATTGTTCTTATAACCACTTAACCGCTCTGGTTGAAAAGAGTTATGTGATATTTTTTACTCTGTTTGAATGACTCGAAGTTTGCTTTTTCTGGCAACAGGGGCTGTGTGTAGAAAGAATACTATGTGGGAAAGGATTTTTTTTCATTGTCTCAAATACATGTACATGTGTTACTCAAACATGCATGAATACATTTACAGGCCCGTACATAACATTTTAGTGCCTAATGAAATGTGTATTTCAATGTTTTTTTATTATATTGAAATGCTTTCCACTGTAAAAGCGACATGAAAACAGTACAAAAATGGCCTCTCTGTAAGTGGGATACTTCTCCACAAACCTCCAGCTTGTTTCTGTGGGAACGTTATTTGTTTTGTAAAAATCTTTCACACAATATGACATCAAATCAATATATCCCAGGAAAGTGTTGCGCCCAGAGGCGCAGTTCCATTTCTGGATTCGTATGGTGATCCAAGTCACCCCCAAAATTGTACAATTTGTTCATTGCCCCATTTCCAAGCTTCACTCCAAATGTCAGAACAATCCTCCCATATTTGAGTTACATACAAACAAACCAGGGCAATAAAACAACCGCTGTGTCACTTTCAGAGTAGAATTTTTAAAAATAAATGGAAATTCCTCCCATTTCAATTTATTTTCTTTCATTCAACTAAAATGTTAAGATTCAAAATTGAAAACAACATGGATGCTGGAGAATGAATATGTTTAAAACACAATATAATAATGCATCAGTTTTATATAGCACTTTTTTGGAAAAGACACTTCACATGTCATTATTCATTCATCCAAAGCTGCCCTGGGGCAGACTGACAGAAGCGAGGCAACCATTGTGTGCCGTCAACCCCTCTTACCACCACCACCAACCATCCACACCAGACTCATTCTAGGCAAAGTAGGTGAAGTGTCTTACCTAAGGGCACTTCAGAGCTGCAGCTGCCGCATTGTGGCACATGGTGTTCCCAAAGGTCTCCCATCACAGTCCTAACCAAGCCATGCCCTGCTTAGCTTCAGGGTCTGATGGGATCTGCAGATCACTGTATCTCACAAACATAGTACTCAAGGAGTCTCTTAAAAAGAATTTATAGATCAATGATAAACAAAATATGATTATTAATTTATCAACAGAGTTGCAGTTGCAGCTTTGGGAAATAATTATTTCTTGAAATCTGACATTTGTGAGCAAGTTATTAAAACAAGAAAAACAATTTAGGGCCATCATAACATAATTAAACTTGTACAAACAGCTGAAATGAAACCTTTGTGAGGAGCTGCAGTAATTGCTAAACCTGACCATGTGGTGGGCATAATAAATCTCATTAACTCAGTATATATTTTATTTAAACAGTCTCTTTGTCGAGGGCTACATTTCCCCATATCATTACTGGCCCTAATGCAGCTGGCACAGGCCACAATCCTATCACTGTGTTTTTGTTTTTCAATGAGTCCTTGTTAAACAGTTGATTCTGGCCAAATTCTAAAGGGAGAAAGGTATGTGACACAAATGAATACTAAACACCAGAGCAATGAGCAGCACGGCCCTGATTAACTCTCATTTTATGAGCTCAAATGGGCTGCAGTGACCGAAAGCCCTATCGCCCGATACATCATTCATTCAAAAGCCAAAACGACATGTGCTACATGTGGATGCTGAGGTTAAGTTCCACAACAAGAGAAAGCATGAAAATTACTTTTGGTGTATATTAGGGTAACGGTATCTCAGGATTTAAGATTTTATTTGCCATTTGCAGCATTGGAAAAACTGTGCAAGACTACCCAGTGTGCACCAGACAGAACAGATAGTACACACCTGAGCTCTTGTCTGAGCAGCTGTTTCCTATTTGTAGTTTAGGTAACCATCATGCACAACTTGGATTCAAACCCTTCTTATTCTAGTTAGCCCTAGAAATATGGAGGTATCAGTCGTTAAAATAAATCCAATCACAGAATTGAATTTTATTTTCAGGTTTTCTGCAACTGTGTGTGTAATTTCCTCCTACTGATCTCCAAACTGATATGGGCCAATACTAGTAAAGTGTTTTCTTGTCTGTTATTCATCCTGCAATAATTACAGAACATTGTTTGAGTAAAAGTAAACATCTTTGGAGAATATCACCATGAATTTGTTTTAAAATTATCCTCAAACCTTTGAATTAAATGTACAGTACTTTTATGTATTTACATCATTACAACCCCCCCCTCACTGTGAATGACTTTCTTTCTGTTTGTTTTTCAGCTGATAAACCAGAAGATCCGTATGTGCCAGCAGCTCTACGACTCACGCTTATTTGTGTCTGTGCTTGCGTTCCTCCTGGCCATCGGGAATTACCTGAACGAGAACGCAGGCAAAGAGAAGGCCAAAGGGATCCGCCTCTCCTCCTTAACTAAAGTAGGTCTGACCTGCTGCCCCTGACAGCCCCCCTCTCGGTGCAGAGCTGGACTTCCAGTGCTGAGTAATAGGCTCGGCTCACACACGCCTGGATGTTGTGGTTCCGCTGCAGGTTCACTCAGGTCACTGGACACAGTGTTTCACTTTTCAGATTTACAGAATATAGTATTTTCCCAGAAATCCAAAGTGGGGGTGGGTTCATCTTCATCTTTATGAATGGGGATCTTCATGCCTTTTACCAGTTGTCCCAGTGACACAAAAGCTCTTGATGTCAAAAAGAGACCATTGCTTTGGGTTTTGAAGCTAATTATTGAGTTTATTTAAGATACTATTACTACATGTAGCTCTTAGTAGTTTGTCATGGCAGCAACATTTGCTCTTTGCAAAAGATGTGAAGTTCTCACAAACAGTTGATAATTAGGGCTAGGACTGTGGCCCTCTCTGTGATGGAACAATGTTATTGTGTTTAGGTAGTGCAGTTTGATGCTCTCTTTTATAATAGTCTAATCTAATCTAATGTGCTATAACAAATTTAGTATATTCTACATTTTCTAATTGTTGTATGCGTCTTGGCCACTGGCAAGTTCATGTGCTCAGATGAGATAAAGTAATCAAAAATACAATATTTAGACCACATTTTGGTAAGTTATCAAAAAATAAATGTCTTGGTTGAGATTCAAGTATTGAAGAAAATGTGAATTCACTGAAGTGACCTCTCAAGCTCTGAAACATGACTTATATTCACAATATTTGGCAGTCAGTTAATCATTTGACTGCATCATAGAAAGTGAATGGTCAGCATTTATAAGAAGTAAAGTAGTAGTTGCTTGTATAGTTTTCTCTGCTTGTGCATTCTTGCTGCAGACCCACTCGACGCTCAGCCTCTGCTGGGAGCCTTCAGCGCAGAGTGAGGCTCCTGTTGGTTTAATGAAGCTGAGCCTCGGTTCTTCCGCAGAGACGTTTCAGATGTAATTGAAACCTGTAAACAGTTTCTGCCCTGAATTAAAAGCGGACACATTGGGAGAAAAGTTATCTCAAGGCTCATATTGTTAATGCTCTGATATTATTGTGCTTGATAGACACAAGAATGAATATAGTCGACTTGAAATGAACTCACTTGTGGGAACCGGCCTATTCACATATTTAATTAAAGGGAGATGTAATATTTCACAGTTATTTTGGTCCATTATTCTATGACTAATGTTCTAAAAGAAAGGAGAAGGTATTGGCTGATTAGCTCGAGCCAATCTGAATCCTGTGCAGCTCATTGCTTATATTTAATTTTTGGTGCTTTGCAAAAGTATTCTTCCCTCATGCACTTTTCAACATTTTTCCTTGTTACACCTGCAAAAAATATAAATATATTGCCATTTTTTGAGAAAGACCAACACAAAGTGATAGACCAATTTAGACCAGTGGAGCTCCGTGATGACCGGTTAGGAGTGGGAGTATGTCAACGCACGTGCTCATGGATCTTTTTGAGCCGGGACCCGCCCCCACTGGTTGTAACAAGATAAAATATGTAAAGTTTCATGGTATTCAAGCTACTGTAGAATAAAATAATACAATGTTTATCTCAGATAAAAAGTTATTTCTCTAGTGAAGGATGAGAATGGAGGATTATTGGGTTCCTCCTCTCACAGACGGTGGATCTCCGAGGTAAAGACAGAGACTTCACTCTGCTCCATGCGCTGGTGGAACAGATCCTGGCACTGCAGCCGTCTCTGGTCTTCTTCACAGACGAGCTGGCAGAGTTTGAGACTGATCCTGGAGGTAATAATAACCACATCTAAGCAAAACTGAGTAAACTATAAATGTGGGTATGATTTGTAAATGCTGTTGTATAATTATTGTTAGAAATACTGATTATAACGATTATAAACATTCTGAATGCAACACTTTAAGAACATGCATGATGCAAAAACCTTTTTGAGTGAAATTAAAATATGTCAAAAGATTTTTGAAGACTTTATGACAAATAATAATTTGTCTGTCTTTTCAATAACCCAATAACCTTGCTATCTTGATTCTTCTGTTTTGTGTAAAGCTTCCATCAAAGGTCTGACTGCAGAAGTAGATGGTGAGTGGATTGTACATTGGTAAAACTGGTGATGGTTGGGTCCAACCTTTTACCGTAAACTTAATATCTCTATTTTGTTGTAGTTCTGAAGAACGAACTGCAGAAAGTTGTGCAGTATCGAAAAGCATCGAAGAAGAGGAAACTGGGAGACGCCTATCCCAACTTTTTAAAAGACTTGAAGGTGAATATTTGGATTCACACTTATTCCAGTGGATTTACACTCAGACACTGATATTAATATAGTTCCAGAAGAACAACAGTTGATTTGAAACCTTACTTCAGTTCTACTAAATACTAAGATAAACTTTATTGATCTCACAATGGAGAAATTTACTAGATCATTGGTTCCCCACTGCTGTCAGACTGTACAACAAGTCACTTTAAGTCACTGCATTAAGACTGAAAAAACCTGCACTACTATTGACACTGTTTCTTGATTGCCACTTTTTAAATTGCCCCTTTTTATTGTACATAATATATCCTGCACTTAACATGTTTGCACATGTCTTTCTTTTTGCACAATCTTGAGTGTTTCTAGCCATGCCAGATGTGACATGTACATTTCTCCTCTGTGAGATCAATAAAGTATATCTTATCTTATTTTCTCTTATCTTCTCTGCTGGTGGGTCAGGACCCAACAGTGGGTTGCTGGATCTTTTTCAGTGGGGGGTGAGTCTTTCCTGGGAAACATTCTTAAACTATAAAAGCACTTGTGGAGCACAGACCTCTGCCAAGAGGTGTAATTTCTTTAAAAACAATCTTACATCCTGAAAGTGATTTGGATCATCTCTGAAATGTAATCACTTTTTCACCGGGCAATTGCACACGTTTCTTGAACATTCCGTCCATTTCCTCCCGTAACTTTGAGTGACGTTGCTCATAGAAGAACAGAAAAACGGCGGTGATCACTTTACCTCCTGGGGTGGCGGGAATATGTATCTACTACTGCAAAAAAGTAATAAAGTAAGAAGTAGGATGTTCATATTTAACATGTTCATAATTGTGCCTTCAAGACGCAGTGCTTATAAAACAATAAAGTGTTAAATTACACAGTATTTTACATTATTTCTATACTAAATTCGGGTCACGGCTTGGCGTTTTGACGGTGGGTCTGAGCAGGTTTTGATTTAGAACGTCTGCTATAGATTGCAGTAAGTCGGCTGACACTAACAAGCTCCTTTTCCTTCTAGTTTGTGATTGAGAAGTACCAGTCCGACCTCTCTCTTTTGACCAAGGCATGTGAGGAAATGAAGAAACTCTACTCTGTCATTCTGGTAAAATATCACTGTTATTATTTGTGTATCTCCAGTGTTCTGCTCAGAGATGGATGAGTCTCTCGTCTGTGGCCTGTGTTTGTCGTCTTATCTCAAACCTACACTTTATAAACACAGGGACAAAAATGCATGCAAGGTTTTTATTGATCCTGCTTCTGTCCATCCAGCAAATGCCTTTCTGTTTTTGAATACTTTTTGTTTCTGTTTTTATCTAAAATGGGATGTCAGTATCTCAATTTTAACTTTAACTTTTATTTTTATGCACATCTTTAACCATTTACAGCATCACATAGAGCAAGTATTTTTCAAAAACAATCTATTTTATACAGTCATACTTTCTCATTTGCAAAACCATCACCAAAGTTAGCTTGAAAAGACCAAAGGGAAGGGGCCTTGTCTGTGTATGTGTATTTGTGTATCGTTGATGAATTCCATCCAATCAGGAACCAGTGGGGAAATAGAGAAAGTGCGTGTCTAAATGGTGACTGACCCTCACTTTAACAGTCCTTGTTCTTCACTGGTTGAATTATGGATTATTCCTGGCATGAACACAAATTACATAGAAGAAGAAGATACAGCTATGCTCTGTTGACTGTACTGATTTACTGGTTTAGTCTGGCTGTAGATGAGTCCTGATTATGGAGCGCTGAACTTCTCATTCTATATCATTTTGCTTTGGTGGATAGAACAGTGTTCACTGGTCTCATTTTGTCACAAAGTACTGCTTATACCAGGGATGTCCAAACTCAGGCCCGGGAGCCAATAACGACCCTCAGTGTCATTTTAAGTGGCCCTGTGCCTTGCTAACCCAAAGTAGTCTTTGAGATCCTAAAAACAATTTCACTGTGTCATCCATCCAACTTCAGCTCAGCCAATATAGACGTGTCGTAACCCGTTCTAAAGGCCAGCACGTCTGGATTTCAGTCGTTGACTTGTGAGCTGGTGAGATGGTAAACATATGTCATTCAGCCAACTTCAGCTCCGTTATAGATCATTTTAAAGCTCAGAACAGCCCTATGCCAGTCAAGACAGTTTTTCATTCTGTGACGTCAGCCCCTGGTCTAATCTGGTGAACTAATGTGTACCTTACTAAAATGTTTGGACACCCCTGGCTTATACTCTGTGAGCTGCTATAGAGTATAAAGGTTTAATATCATCACTATTGTGCAACCTTTTTGTAAAAGGCGTAACAACTATTCAGTTTTTACACGGTGGCTGTGGATAGCACACTCACTTCTCTGGAAGAAGGTCCTGGGTTTGAATCCGGGCCTTTTTGAGTGGAGTTTGCATGTTCTCCCTGTGTCTGCGTAGGTTTCCTCCGGGGTGCTTTGATTTCCCCTATTACTAAAAACATGCACAATAGGTATAAATATGAGAGAGTGAATGGGTGGTGTTGGTTTGAGGCTTTGATGCTCCAATGTGTTCGGCGTCTCGCTTCCGTCATCACCGTGTGTGAAGAGAATGGAACAATATTTGAACTCTGAACATTATAAAGCACTTTTGGTGACCTTGGTCTGTAAAAATGCGCTATATAAATAAAGATTCCTTTCTTACTTATTCAAGTCAGGTTTACTCTTCGGAATTTACCGCTTGTGATTTTTTTACATTCCTTATATTCCTTTGAAACTCCTGCCTCTATTAAACGAGTCCACTTGTGTGCTCACAAAGCTGAAAACATTAGGTTTATGACATCCGGACTCTCCTCTGACACTTTAACAGCAGCTGCTCATCTTCTACACAGCTCTAAGCTCAACAATCAATATCACAACAGCTACTTTTTCTCACACATGCCGTATTTTTAGCTGAGAACGATCCATCATCAGATTGAAAGAGAAAGAGGTGGAAGTGAGGCAGTTAGGAATGAAAAAAGTAGAAAACAAGCCGACTGTATGCCCGCTTTTATTACTCTGCCAACAAGAGGGGTATTGTTATAGTCTCTGGAAGTTTGTGTGTGTGTGTGTGTATGATTTTGATGGACAATAGTCCATCAAAATTAGTGAGACTATATCTTTACTATATGTAACAGATGCATCTAAAGCAGGAAGTATACACTTCATTATCATCCCAAACCCTATATAACTAAAATGATTCAGTTATAGAATGATTTGCCAGTTTAGTAATTATACTACCTTCTCAAACAGAATCCATTCAAGTTGAATTCTGTGTTGGAAATATATCCACTGGTAGAACATGAATTTCTTATTCAGAAAGAAACTCCACTCATTCACTAGAGTTGAGCATTAATCTGCTTCAATGATTGTGCAGAAATAGCGCCAGCTCTCCAAGATTTGCTATTTTCCAAAATGCATTTAACCTTCTTTTTGCAAGTCCAGAAATATTGAAGACACTTTATTCAAAGCCTCTAGGTCTCTGCTCTATCCTTACATTAGCTGTCACTTTGAGGTGTAAAGTGTGATGAATACCTCTGAGTTTTATTTAAATTATTGCACCTTGCAGCACTTCTGGCCTTAAATAAAACTATTTGACCTTTACTGTGGTGTGTCGTCAGCTGTTGACTCAGGAAAATCCACAACACAAAAGTTGCATTTACATAGAATCATGCTTTGCTGATCACCAACATAAGCGAAAATGTTATTCTCTTTCAACTACAGTATGAAACAAGCAGAACAATGCATTTTCTAATACCAAAACCAAACTTTACAAGATTTGTGCAGATAGAATTAAAACTGTTTACATGCTTAATTGATTTGAATTTTAATGCATTTTACATACATTTTAATAGAATATGAAGGTGAAAGTTAGAAACGTGTATTTGTTTCTTTAATTCAACTTAAAACATGCAAAGTTACATTTGTCATGTGTATATATCATCATAACATAAGAGAGATTGATATATCTCACTCTGTGTGTAATGAATCTCTCATATAATAGTTTATCTAAACAAGCAATGAAATAGACTTATGAAAAACAACATGCACAATCTGTATTTCTATATTTTTAAGTATTCGGTTTTTTGTACATAAACTGTACATAAACTTCCCACGACATTTCAAACCAATATATAAACTGAAAATGTTATCCCTATTCAGCTGCTGGGTCTGGCCTTTCCTATGAGGCTCGCTGTGTGTAGGGACATAGAAGAAATGGAGATGAGGAGGTTATTTTGAGTTGTTTGCATTCCTCTGAGGTCAGACTGGTCCTGGAGAATTCATCTTAAACCAGAACTGTGGGTCACATCTGAGCCCTCATCTCATAATTACACTGCATCTTTATTCAAGGACCACTTTATAACCAACAACACAACATACTTTAAACATATTGTGGCATTACAGCCTCTCTATGGCTCTATGCCACTTTCTCTCGTCCTCATTTTCTATTGGTTGTTCGTCCCGTCAATCACCCAATAAAAGGTACGCGTCTTCTTTCACTCGTCCTCTGACCTCACTCTCCTGCTTCCGGTTGCGGTGTTTACATTGGTGTTCCCGCTCTCAGGTAGTATTCGAAAGTTAAATGTGAGATATTTGTTTTATGAAGCACTGAGTGTTAAATATTGTGGTTCAGTGCTGCTGCCATGGGTCCACTTGTGTTGCCGTGTAATTACCGCCCGCGGTGCTGGCTGTCAACCCAGCTCATGTGTGTGAGCGGCTACCGCGCTAACCCAGGTTTGTAGCAGAACTTATAGGTTATAGAACAATTTGAGTCATTATATTTATTTAGATACATGTACTTTTAGATTGATGCCATGGAGCCATGAGGTGCACTGTCGCCGCCTTGCCTTACCCAGATTCCATTGACCAGAATCATGTTACAGTGACCTGAACAAACTTGTTTATAAATGTACATATTTTTGTAACCTGTATCAGCCTCTGTGTTATCACAACGGACCTACGTCCTTTATTTTAAATGTAATGTGGATCCAGTTAAATAATATCCACCACACCCTCTGGAACACCACAATATACCTCCTGCATGCAGAAAAGACAGAGCTGTGAGAAGGTTGGCAGTCTGATTCCTGCTGCATTGCTTCATATGTGGGCAAGATACTTCATCCATATGTGAATTTTTTAACCCAGACGTGAGACAATGAGAGACAGACAGGTTGCATTGTTCAATGAGCTTTTATTGCAGAAGGTTTGGCCCCATGGCAGCTCCCAAGTTCTGATCCAGAAGTCCTGCAAAAGTCTTATCACAGAGAAAGATGGTGCTTATATAGACCTTTGATGCAGATGTAAACACAGACTTTGGAAACTTGACTTGGCAGAAAAAAGGCATAGCTTCATTGTACAGACCACGAAGGCATGAGATGGCATAACTATGGGCTAAACATGGCCTTTTCACAGACCAAACTCTAATGTATGGAACACGTAGACAAGATAGCAAAAGTAACAATAATGCAATTGTATTTGTGAGTGTAAGAATGATGTGCAAGCAATAAGCAATAATATTTAAAAACTCCATAGAAGAGCTGTGGTGTTGGATTTCCAAAAAGTGTAACCTGCCATTCATACAATTGTATTTTTTAGATACATAGATAGACGGACAGATGGACAGATAGATGGATGCATGGCTTATTTTTGCAGCTCAGAAAAAGGAAGCGGCCACTCCTCGCACTTCTCTGACCAGTCACGGTCTAAAGCAAAAGATGTTTGTCGTCGGAGATGATGTGCCGCATTTTCTGCCTCATGAACTTCTCCTAAACATGCCCAACACACATTACTCTACCGCCCTGACCCAGCCCTCTTCACAAATATGTCCAGTTTGTTTCTGCCCCTCACAGAAATACTGCCCCCCAACACGTAATGACCTAGCACAGTGCCAACCACAGAATGATAAAACATGTACAGAGGGGCTATAGCTACACATATCTATATTCAAATCTTTTCATTATGTTTACTGTTGTAGGATATATTTTACATGTGTCTTCTCAATAATTTGCCCTAGGGATTATACAGATTAAAATGTTGTTACAAACATAGGAAAAAGGAGTAGCTCTCTACCTTTTCTGTTGCGTGAAAGTAGCTTCCAGATATGAAAATGTGGAGACCCCCAATACAGAATGTCATAACAGACTTTGAATGACTTCAGGCGTCTCAGAAATAAGTCTACTATTTCCCTTTTTGTACTGGTTCTGGATGTTTCCTCCTCAGCAGTACAGAGCTGATGGTAATGAGCGCACTAGTGAAGTCAGATAACCTCTAGAAAAGTCAGGACCTTCTGAAACATGTACATCCAGCCTCCTCCCTGTACGTACATTTTAGCCAATCCACATCAGGCTCCACCATAGGCCTCAGATGTCACAGAATCAACCTCCATTGTCTTCATCATGAGGGTCTGTAGTCCAAACAAAACCTATATGTGTGCAGTTTCTTCAGGGATTACATTACTTGCATTTAAAAAATACATATGAATAAATAAGAAGTGGATTGATAGCAGTAGATTAGAAAAACAGGTCTGTGTAGCTTCAACTCGACTCAAGCTTTAAAATGCAAACAAACTCACAAACTCTCACACCTTGCTTCGAGTGATTTCTGCACTAATTGAATGACCGTTGGATAAAGTAGTCTTTCTCTTGCTCATTAGCTGTGAGACTCTACAGAGTATATTCTGTCAGAGTAAATACATCTGAAATGATCTGGTGTGAGTTTGTTGTGGCTGAAGTCTCCTTCGCAGCTCCGACACTACAAATGGGTTCAACCTTCAGAGGCAGCACCAGTCGATGTGATTATCCTTCACTCGCTCCTTAAAGAGAGACAAAGACACTTGTCCTCGGCCGTTTGGCTGCGTGTGTCTTTGGCTATTAAGTTTGCATGGAGAAAGCTGGGGAAAGAAATTAATGTCTACAAAACAGTATTTCTGTAACAATATTTAATGTAGTCTTTGTACAACATTGAGATAAGATAAACTTTTGTTCGTCCCTCAGTGGGAAAATTAAACCTGCGCCACAGTAACAAGAGCTCCTCAATCCAGGACACATTCAAGTAGTTTGATTTTGAATCTTGTGCTTTGAAAATCATTTTACTCTTTGTATGGTAAAATGTTTCCAACGGAATAGTTTATATTAAATTTAAAATCAGAGACTTCTCAGACATTGTCTTCAGCAATTAATCCACTTAACCCCACAGACCCTGTTTAATAAAATGACACATAGTGAGTCATGACTTAAGGCCGCTCTGCAGACAGACACGCTGAGACAGAATAATGTTTGATTATACCATTATAATATGAGAGAAATATGAATGACCTGCAGTCAGATCACTTAAAAATATATGCTATTTTATAATCATGAACAGATATTATGGTCTAAGCCTTAACACCAGTCGACATATTTTGAACATCTTTTTGGTATCCTTTTCTATATCATTGTTCGTCAATTATTTATTTATATGGCCCAACAGAGATTATTTTCCTTGTTCTTTAACTTTGCGACTACAATTTCACATATAAACTCCACAATACACATTATTATGATAAATATTAAATATGGGTGCATAGAGAACTGAAATATAGAGTTATAAAAGCAGGCTGTGTTGGTGAAATTACATATTTACAATAGTGCGTTTGAAAACAGCTGAGGGAGTTGTTTATGGCAAAGAATATGAATTAATTAAAAAAACTTCGTTTGAAAAATATGTTTGAAATGTACACAAACAAAGTCACAAAGCACACATTTGACAGTCACCATTGTCCTCTTGCTCCACACCGTGATGGAAGCGGAGTCACTATACTGGAAGCACATGCCGGACCTATTGTACTGGTATTTTAGTGGTAGGGGAAACCCAGAGCACCCAGACACAGGGAGAACATGCAAAATTCACACAGAAAGGCTGTACCGTACATTTATAAGAGTACCATGTTCTATAGTAACTTAAAATAGATTGTAATAGATGTTACTTTCGGTATTGACCCAGGTCTTCTCATTCATTGAAATAATATTTTTTGATGTTTTAAAAAAAAAAAAAAAAAATGCTGTATACTGCTGTGGGTGATGTCTGTATCGTGCAACTGTAGACTTGTTAGTTATAATCGTTTTTTTTTATTTTCAAGATTTGAAAATCAGGCTATCCACCATAATGATAACGTGGATGGGAAAATATCTACAAATCAACTAAAGAACAGTGTATCATAGAAAAAGGGGATCATGTGAGCAATGGCGTCTTGGATTAAGTAGATTATAAATGACTCAAACATGCGCATAACACAGATTTACATAGAACACAGGTTTGCATAAAAAACATGGCCTTAAACTCAGAAGAGTTCAGTGATTCCTAACTTTCAGCGCAGTGTTGTTCATTTGCAGGCGACTCATTCTCTGTGTCGTCCTGTTCTTTTCTGAAGGTGAAATTCGGAGAGCCGGCGGACTTGGACTCTCAAGAGCTTTTTGGGGTGATCTGCCAGTTTATCCACGACTTCAAGAGGGCACACGCAGAGACGGTATGAGGTCAACAACAACCACAGGGATACACAACTGAGCCACTATTCATTTTTATATAGATAACTCAGGTTTTTGGATTTGGGCTGATTTACCAAACAAAAGTCGTCAATATTTAATCCCATAAACAATGTATTCAATCGACTATCATTGTTGATTTTAAATAAATATCTTTTATCTGCCATTTTTGCTTTTTCATTATTTGTGTGTTTTTTAAAAAGATTTATGGAAATATTCCAGGTGTTTTTTACTTGAAAGAAAAATTTGGACATGGGCTACGGCGAAAATAAACTCTACAAGGCCTAACGCACAAAGCACATGTGCTCCAGTGACAGGGTGAGGGTCACAAATGAAAACATTTTCAAGGAATTCTACTAGGAGATAAATAAAAGGCGTAAATTGCCCGTGATGATTCATCTTGACTTAATGTGTTAAACATAATGTTTTACCTCAAGGCATTCACTGTGGTCATTGTTTAGCTAATTTTGTGCATGCTTTTTACATCATACATCATCACATGCAACATAAGATAAGATAAGAGAGACTTTATTGATCTCACAAAGGAGAAATGTACATGTCACATCTTGCATGGATAGAGACACTAAAGATTGTGCTAAAGAAAGAAATGTGCAAACATGTTAAATGCAGTATATATTATGTACAATAAAAAGTGGCAATCAAGAAACAGTGTCAATAGTAGTGCAGGTTTTTTAGTCCTAATGCAAGTGACTTATTGTACAGTCTGACAGCGGTGGAGATAAAGGCCCTGCGGTTGCGCTCCTTCCTACACTGAGGGTGCCTCAGAGGGTGCCACTGAAGGAGCTCCTCAGCTCCTCTACAGTCCTGTGCAGTGGGTGGGAGGTATTGTTCATGATGGAGGTGGCTTTGACTCGCACCCTCCTGTCCCTCACCTCCTCCACAGAGTCCAGGGAGCAGCCCAGAGTGGAGCTGGCCCTCCTGACCAGCTTGTTCAGTCTGTTTCTGTCCCGCTCTGTGCTGCCCGGGGCCCAGCACACTGCAGCGTAGTATAAGGCAGAGGCTACCACAGAGTCATAAAAAATCCTGAGCAGAGGCCTGCTCACTTCGAAGGACCGCAGCCTCCTCAGAAGGAAGAGGCGACTTTGGCCCTTCTTGTGCAGGGCGTTTGTATTGTGGGACCAGTCCAGTTTATTGTTGATGTTAACACCCAGGTACTTGAAGCTGTCCACCAGCTCAATGTCTTCCCCCTGGATGTTCAGCAGCGTGTGGGAAAGTGGTTTTCTCCTGAAGTCGATGATCATCTCCTTGGTCTTACTGGTGTTCAAGCACAAGTGGTTGCGCTCACACCAGTCGACAAAGTCCGTGATAACCGATCGATATTCCAGTTCGTTCCCCTCAGACACACAGCCCACGATGGCGGAGTCGTCGGAGAACTTCTGCAGGTGACAGCTGTGTGTGTCGTGTGTGAAGTCTGAGGTGTAGATGGTGAAGAGAAACGCTGAGAGGACAGTGCCCTGAGGGGCCCCAGTGCTGCAGACGACCACCTCAGACTCACAGCTGCGCAGCCGCACGTACTGTGGTCGGTCTGAGAGGTAGTCAATGGTCCATGCAGTGAGGTGACTGTCCACTCCATCTTCCCCTGCAGCAGTGCCGGCCTGATGGTGTTGAAAGCGCTGGAGAAGTAAAAAAACATGACCCTCACAGCGCTCCCGGCGGGCTCCAGGTGGGAGAGCGTCCGCTGCAGGAAGTAGATGACGGCGTCCTCTACTCCGATGTTGGGCCTGTAGGCGAACTGCAGCGGGTCCAGGGTGGGGCTGACCATATACAACATTATATACAACATTGTTAACAACATCATATACAACATCATATACAACATCATATAGAGCACAGTTCATACAGAATGCAACCCAAAGTGCGTCACATTGGCAACATTTAAAACCAATAAAATAAAATAAACACAGTAAAAACACGTACAAAAGACAATTTAAAAATAAATTATATATATATATATATACAGCCATGACATCGGGATGTCATTCGGGCTCGAGAAATGTAGCAGGATGGTGACTCGGAGAGGCAAGGTAGTCCACACAGAAGGGATCTCACTCCCAGAGGGAACAATAGCAGACGTTGAGGACAGTTACAAGTATCTCGGTATACCACAGGCAAATGGCAACCTCGAACAGGTGACGAGGAAAGCGGCAACTGCCAAATTCCTCCAGTGAGTAAGGCAGCTCCTAAGAAGCCGGCTCAATGGCAAGAACAAGGCCCGGGCAATTAACAGCTACGCCCTGCCAGTGATCAGATACCCTGCAGGAATAATCAGGTGGCCAAAGGAAGAGATTCAGACCACGGATGTTAAAACTCGAAAGCTCCTTACCATGCATGGCGGGTTCCATCCCAAATCCAGCACCCTGAGACTGTACGTAAGCCGTAAAGAAGGAGGCCGAGGACTAGTGAGTGTTAGAGCCACTGTCCAGGACGAAACATCCAAACTCCATAACTACATCATGGAGAAGGCCAAAACGGATGACGTACTCAGTGAATGTCTCAGGCAGTGGCGAGATGAGGAGGTGCTGGAGGAGAGCCCATCATGGGAGAACAAGCCCCTACACGGCATGTACCACCGGAGCATAACAGAAGTGGCTGATCTCAAGAAGTCCTACCAATGGCTAGAAAGGGCTGGCCTACAGGACAGCACAGAGGCACTCATCATGGCTGCACAGGAACAGGCACTGAGCACCAGAGCGATAGAGGCCCAGATATACCACACCAGACAAGACCCAAGGTGTCGGTTGTGCAAAGAGGCACCTGAGACGATCCAACACATAACTGCAGGGTGCAAGATGCTGGCAGGGAAGGCCTACATGGAACGCCATAACCAAGTGGCTGGCATAGTGTACAGAAACATCTGTGGAGAGTATGGGCTGGAAACCCCAAGGTCTAAGTGGGAAACTCCTCCAAAGGTGGTGGAGATTGAGCGTGCAAAGATCCTGTGGGACTTCCAGATACAGACCGACCGAATGGTAATGGCAAACCAACCTGACATCGTGGTGGTAGACAAAGGGCAGAGGACAGCCGTGGTGGTGGACGTGGCAATTCCAAGCGATGGTAACATCCGGAAAAAAGAACATGAAAAGCTTGAGAAATACCAAGGTCTCAGAGAGGAGCTGGAGAGGGCCTGGAGGGTAAAGGTGACAGTAGTGCCCGTGGTGATCGGTGCACTCGGGGCAGTGACCCCGAAGCTAGAAGAGTGGTTACAGCGGATCCCTGGAACAACCTCGGACATCTCGGTCCAGAAATGTGCAGTGCTAGGAACAGCAAAGATACTGCGCAGAACCCTCAAGCTCCCTGGCCTCTGGTAGAGGACCCGAGCTTAGAGAGGGATAACCGCCCGCGGAGGGCCAAAGGTGAGTGGACAATTTTTTTATTTTTTTTTATATATATTAAAAAAAAATATGTGTCCATATATATATATACTGTATATTAGAGCCCTGCACTTGAGCCCTTGGCCCGAGGGCCCCGACGGCCCGACAGCCCGAGGGCCGGGCTTCGGGCCGATGACCGCATAATGACCTCGGACACGGGCCGGGCTCGGGCTCTTCATTTTCAGAGCGGCAGAATAGATTTACGAACGCACCCACTGAATATAGCGTTCTATCACGCTGTAGTGTTTGTTGTTCTGTGTAGTGTTGTCATTGACGACACACAGCGTTACTTACGGGTGTGTTGCACCATCTGGGCATCATACAGCTGTGTATCATACAGATGTTCACTCTGCACCACTCCGCACACACAGAACTCATTGCAACACATCACTACCATGTATAACTCCGCCCTCTAGCTAAGTCTGCGTTCATATCAGTGCGCGGCACTATTTACTACGCTAAAACATTGTTATGGGAGGTTACAAAAAAAAAAAAAAGGCGGGCTTGATGCGGGTTTCGGGCCTGAAAATTCAGAAACCATATCGGGCCGGGCCGGGCTGGGGCGCCACCCCCTCGGGCCAGGGCCGGGCTCGGGCCCAGATAATAGGCCCGTGCAGGGCTCTACTGTATATATATTGCAGCCTAAAATAGCAGCCTGTCTCACAACTTCGGGAAGACTGTTCCAGATTCTAGACTGCTGCCTCCTCATAGATGATGATGAGGATGGTTTCATCTGTAAAATACAGGAACTCTAATTCTTACGTCCTGCCAGAACCTAATTGGATGTTTGTGCAGGATCTCTTATATAAAAATTAGTGAAATATTAATTTTAAAAATCAGAAAAGACGATTCATCGTTTATGCAATAAGATGGCTTTGTGCGTTTGACTTTTTAATCAGACAACAATAAACTTGTATGAGTTATAAACGGACACCAACATTGCGGTTTTCTTGCCAAAATATTTTCATCAAATCCATGAAGCTGTGACTCCTCAGCAGACCATTCAAATGCAGTAATACTTCCTCAAACGGATTCTTTACTGTCTCTTATCTTCATTTTAAATTGGAAACAGATATTACAGACTGATAATTATGTCTATTTTTATGTGATTCGATGCATATAATTTCATATTTGTGTTGTGGATTGTTCAACTTTTCAATTAAAGCTCCGGTATGTGAATTGAAGTTGCCATGGGCGACTCCTCATTCATTTTGGTTGTTGTTGTTCAATCAATCCATCACATTTTTTTTATATTTTTTTTATAAATTTGTTGTTAGTTTAGCTTCAGAACTTCAGAGTGTACATTTTCTATAGACTACGAAGCCATTTTCTAACCTCATAGAAGGAGAGAGCATTCTAAAATTGTCAACAGAACACAGTAGTTCAGTGGGAAGAGATACTTTATAGAAATAACTATCATTTATTTAACTTTTATTTTACTCGCAGCACATGTTAACATACACACATATAAACTGATCTTACTTTTGTGTGCGTTCACTTTTTAATGCATGAAAACGCCACTTCTGTCTTATTCCCACTCCTGTCTTTTGTGATTATGACAGAAGTGGCGTTTTCATGGATTAAAAAGTTGACGGTTC